AAACTGTTCACGTCTTGAGACACTGCCATTAGATGTTCGTCGTTCCTCGGGGGAATGGAGGAGATGACGACAGCTGTGTTGGGGTATTTGTCGTGTGTCGTCATGATCAGTTGCCTGATGTTCTCTGTCACGCCTTGTGCAGCTCTCTCCTGTCTGACATCGTTTGTTCCCACGTGGAGCACGATACATTTTGGGTCTTGGTGGGATGTCGACTTGATGAGGTCTGTTGCTTGTGGGACAGTCATTGCTGCATATTTATGGACTTGCTTGCTAGGGTATAGAATGTTGGGCATTATACCTCTCGTGTTTGAGTCACCCGCTATGATGATTTCTGGGTGTGCTGAGTTGACGCTGCGTTGGTGCTCATGTGTACGAACTTCCTGTGACTAGTACTTCATGTACTAGTATATAGTGGCTGATCAGAGACTATGAATTAGTATGAAATATCCATACCTTGATGTTGATGACTCCATCTTGCTTGCCGACATATCCCTGTATGTTCTGTACACAGGAGTTGCAAGTCATGCCCTGTACGCTGATCACAGTGGTCTCCACTCCCGACATGGTGTCTGTTTGTTGAACACACCTGTAATCAAACAAGGCAATCAGAGATGGCAGACTGCACCCCTTTCATGTGTTACGAACAATCGAAAGACCTAGCCTGCTCATCGAACCTATTTTAGCTGCCGAGTCTCTCTCTAGTCTCTTGTCCTCACATGCAAGTACAAAAAAAAAAATTATGTAGGTCAGAACAAACACAGGCAGACATGCAAAAAAAACCTTGACAACTAAGGAACCGATACCTCTTAATATTGCTGTATACTGGCTTCCTAACATAAGTAACAATAATTTTTCACTTTTCCAGTGTGTCAGGTGAAGCAACATTCTATTCGTACCTGTACTGTAACGTTAGTTGATGTCTTTATCATGGTACAGGTATGTGCCAGGTACCGTTACAACTTACAGTTGTATGCAACAAGTGTAAACAAATCACATGCTGGGGACTGACGGTCACAATCTTCTACAAAATTAGTACCATAATTTCATATTTCCGCATTATTGTCTCAGCTGATTTGCAGACGATTACAAAAGTTTGCAAATCTGCTAGAGGCGAACCGGAAAAACGCAAGGGAAAACTGCTGGATAATCCCTGATTGACGTCAGAACAGAACAGGAAATAATTTTTTTGGTGCCGAAATTTTCGAGTGTCTCTGGCATGATATTGACAGGACTGAGAAGGATAAAACTGATAGAACGTAAAGACAAAGATACACACGACTTACCTGGTAGGTTTTTAGGTCATCTGTAAAGTTATAACTTTAGGAATTGTTGTTTTTATCTGCTTAGTCGTTCGAAGATTTTTCTGTGTACACCCCTTCTGGAAATCACGTGACTACTGGGTCATGACGTTGGCGGGTCATTTCACCGCACACAAGTACAACTGGATTTTCTCAAATAATATTGAAAATTTCGAAGCAAATTTAGTCAAATTTTCTCAATGTTCGTAAATTTTATCATTATTGATTATTTTTACGCAAACTTTTTCAGTTTGTTGGATCTTTAACAACGTTTTTGCAGTAAAGCATGAATTCATTCATTTTTCGTATTTTACGTTTACATTTAATCCAGGTCATGGCGATTTTGCAGACGATCCTGTCGTTTCTCAGGTGAGAAAACAGCGAGTTACCTCAGAATTCTCTGAGAAATCTCGGGTCTTGATCGCAAATGCAAAAAGAGACGTAAGGTTACTTACCTCAGAGTGAAAACTGCTTCGTCACTCGGCGTTTGCGGTTGTTTTTATGGTACAATGCGTGTGCAAAGCGGGGTGCAGCAGCCGAGGTTGTAAACGTTTGGACGTGCCGTGTGCAACTTGCTGGTCAGGTCAAAGTCCGCCAATTTCAACATCCCTCACAAATCAGAGCCTCGGCTTTTCACACATCAAATATTAATGCAGTCTTATTCCTATAATTTCCTCAATTCGCCGACATCACTCACAGTGTAAGGATGATTTTGTATCTAGATTATGATGGTCTGAGCCCTTTTCTTTTTTTGCTGGTCATCATCACTGCTCATCTTTAACTTTCTCTCCCGGGTCTTGCAGCAAGTCTCCCTTAACTTCCTTGCTTGCGGGTACATGTATAGTTTGATAATTTATGCAAAAATAGTCTAATTGAGAGGATTATGATCCTTCTGTCAATTGCCTCAGTCTTCAAACAGAGGCAGCTTAAAGATGTGTTGAATGGCAAATGTTAGTTATTGTTACCACAATAGTGCTAAAACGAATCTTGCTAGAATTATTTGTATTCTTTTATTAATTTGTCTATTTTGTTTATGTTATTGAAATTACAACATCAATGCTGTTTGTGCAAAATTAATTCTTACGCCTGTAAATTGCTTCTTCATTTTCTACAGCATGGCTCTGTCCCTATTGCTGTGGGGCATTGTCTTTGCAGTCATATTCCTCGTGACTGTAGCTGTCGTTCTCCGTATCTGGGTTCGTTCACGAGCCAAGAGCCTACTGCCGCACCTGAAGGAAGGAGACAAGGACGTCCTAGTGGTTGGCTTCTTCCACCCGTACTGCAATGCCGGGGGAGGAGGGGAGAGGGTGCTGTGGTGTGCTGTACGTGCCCTCCAGGAAAAGTATGCTCAAAATTCAGCCAAATATTTTTCCTTATCTGATGGTAACTAAGTAGCCTGTGTTACACAACCTCTCACTGAAACATTTTCAGGTGTATGTCATGATCATGAAGTGCTAGACTCACTTAGACTTAAGCACTCCCATGTTGTTCGACATATGAGGCAGTGCTAGAACTTCATATATTATATGCATAGTAGAAGTGCTAGATAGTACAGTTCTTCTTCTCCTACACCACATATCAGTGCCACAGTTTTAGATTACTGTTGATGCATTTAATTTTTGATAGCTATATATTTGGTGGTAAGACTTAAGGGAAAAGGAGTACATTGCTGGAGTTAGAAATGTCCTCTTGGATGTGATGTAAAGACTGCTCACTGCCACTGCACTTTTTGAAAAGAGTAGGGTTTACAGGTTATATGAAACAAATATCATTTTTCCTCTAGGTACAAACACGTAAAATGCCTGGTATACACCGGGGACAAGAACGTGAAGGGAGCAGAAATAGTGAAGAACGCGAGACAACGGTTCAACATCGTTCTTCGTCAGCAACCGGAATTTGTCTTCCTCGGTCGACGGGACTGGGTCGAGGCCGGCACATGGCCATATTTCACACTCCTCGGACAAAGCTTGGGATCTATCTGGCTTGGGTGGGAAGCCTTGACAAAATATGTTCCCGATGTCTACCTGGATAGCATGGGGTATGCATTTACACTGCCCATGTTTAAGTATCTCGGGGGGTGCAGAGTTGGGTGTTATGTGCACTATCCAACGATAAGTACAGATATGTTGTCTAGGGTCACAGACCAGACAGCCACTTACAACAACAGAGCGATCATAGCCCGTAGTCCCATACTGAGTGCGGTCAAGATTGCGTACTACCGTGCATTTGCTTTCATCTACGGTCTCGCTGGGTCTTGCTGCGACGTGGTGATGGTCAACTCTTCTTGGACACATGGCCACATAGTGTCCATATGGGGCACGAGGGAGGGCACATACAAAGTGTACCCACCCTGCGACGTGAAAGAATTCATGGACCTACCCATGAAGAGCGACGCGGGAAAAGCGCAGCACAGCATTGTGTCAGTCGCGCAGTTCCGTCCCGAGAAAGACCACCCTCTCCAGTTACGTGGGTTCCACGAGTTCCTCAAAGGCGTACCCCAGGAGAAGAGGAAGAACTACAAGTTAGTCATGATCGGTGGGGTGAGAAACCAGGGGGATGCAGATCGCGTAGACGGACTGAAACGGTTAGCAGAGAAGTTAGAGATCTCGCAGTATACAGAGTTCCGTCTGAACGTGCCATTCTCGGAACTGAAACAGAGCCTGTCTGAAGCCACAATAGGTCTGCACACCATGTGGAACGAGCACTTTGGAATAGGTGAGCCAGATGTTCAACCATTCGTACAAACTACACTGTACATTGTACATACTGGCATCTAAAAGATGCTGACAACCAACTGTAACTAAGAAAATGAAGTAGAGTTGCCATTAACACTGTATTAGATGTAAGAATCATACTTTGTGGAGAATACATTTACTGTACTGTGACAGCTACTCTTGTAAGAAATTCACTCGTATACAATGATATTTTGTGTTTGATTCTTGTCCTGCAAAGGCAACTTGCTGCTTTTTGTTGTTGTAGGTTTGTTTCTAAAATTGTGTGCTTTCTTTTACAGGCGTTGTAGAATGCATGGCAGCAGGTACCATCATCCTAGCACACGAGTCAGGAGGCCCCAAGATGGACATTGTCGTGGAGCACAACGGTTCTTGTACGGGCTTTCTCGCGCACGACGAGAAAACATACGCGGACGCCATCAGGACCATCCTGAGCATGAGCCCAGAAGAGAGGATGGAGGTCAGAAGAAATGGCCGGGAGTCTTCGTCCAGGTTTTCTGACCAGGAGTTTCAGACAAGCTTTTTGAATGCATCAGAAGCACTTTTTAAGTGAACACAACAACAAAAAGATGAAAATACACAGATGAAACGTTTTCAAAAGTCATTCCACTGTTTAACAAAGCACCTCTTTCCAACAAGGGTCTTCATATATGATTATTTAGTTTAGAAATTTCTCAAACTTGCATTTTTTTATGACAGAACTATTTAGTATCGACACTGCTGATTAACATTCTTTTTGCTGAGCTAGCTTTTTGACACAAGATTGTATTACTTGGCTACAGGCTTAGTCAGCAATACTACATGACGCTTTCGTACAAAAATGTTGCAAACACAATAAAATCAAAAGTATTTTGATTTGTTTTGATATGCATGAAATGTAGGACACCAGTAGTTGTTTTGCCTTCCAAATTGTTGCATTCAAATCAAGTATGTGATCATTGTGGTTGGTTGGTTGGTTGGTTAGTAATAGCTTTACAAGAAAGACATGGATTTTTTACAAATACTGAAGATTGAACTACATGTAGTATGAACAAATGGTTGTAAACTATAAAGAAAGTGAATATTCCATGTATTTAGATGTGCTATAGTGTTGAAAATGATTACTTGCAATTCATACCACTAACCACTTAATATCTTATGTCTATTGCTGGAGTTTAAAAAGAGAATGCATTCCTCACAGGTAATACAGCAATGTCTACTCTAGTAGTGCAATGGTTCAACAAAGTCAAAAGTCCACTTCTGATTCATAGAATCTGGAACAAGCTCGACACAAGGCCTCATCAAACGTAAGTTGTTACATGTCTCTGCTGCTGTAGTAGTGGATATCCGTAACCATTTTCCATGTCATACAACTTACACAAGTCTTTTGTTCCGCCAATGTGATTCTGCTTACCCCAAGTGTCTTGAATAAATGGATACAAACTGATGTTTCGTCTTGACTGATCAGTTAATTGCTCTTGAGGAAAACCTGACAATGAATACTGGTTAACATTAAAAAAAACACGAGAAATATTAGATTGTGCATCTAAATGATTTTCTTCAAAAGTATTTCTTTCAAAAGTATCAACAGCCTCAGTGTAGCTCCCAGTTCTGTGTCTTGGGATGACTACAACAGCTTGCAGCTGGTCAGAATCTTGACCAGGGTCAGTGTTTTTGACTCCCAGTCCTTCTTTTTCACAGTGTTTGTCTTTATTCCCTGGATCCTCTACGTTCTGTTCTTGCTCTGCACCGTACCTGTGCACAATGAGTTTTAGGATGAGGTACTCCAGGAACTCTGACAGTGTGATGATGCTTGCTCCCAGGAAAAACCCAAGTTGGCCGCCAATGTCACCTGTAAAAACATCTTTCAGATTTTCATTCTGGAGGTCACAATGTGAACTTCAAGGGTTGCATTTCGGTGTCATCTCGTTACCCCAACATTACAGTATGATCATAAACTACCAGTACCTTATTGCCTACCTACTGGAAATACAGAAACTTTCACTGTGGTATTATTTTCACAGTTTTTGCGAACTTATGATGCCAAAAACATGCCACCACAAAATTTAATGCATTTACAGTACATACAATGTAGTACATGTATCCTGGACCTGACCTAGTCACTGGGGGTACAGGGTATCAGATAAACATGGAGATTATAACCATTACATTCAGTTTCTTACTATCAGACTAGCCTTTTTGGCAACCCCTTGGGCAGATGCACTATTTCCAAATACAAACTACGAGTACCCTATTTAAAAAATGAGGCGTTACCTTAATTTAATGGTATTCAGACAATGACTTACTGATCATCCCTGGTACTGTGACTGTCTGAAACTGCTGAAAGGTCTGATAATTCAGGTCTTGGTAGAAGATATCCATCGACACATAATTTTCTCTGTCAGTAAAAAAAAATATAGAGATTCATAAGTCCTCAGCTTTTGCAAGTGGCCCTCACCTGTTATTTATGAAAAATATCATACATGCATTGTTAACCATTTTTGCAGGAGTTTGCACAAAATGTATGTGCTGTATCTTGTCCTTAGGAGTTGAAGCGAGTGGGCAGAGACTGGGGTTCAGTTGATTGACAGGGTTGTGATCTGGCATACCCTGGGTGGTGAAATGTGGTATGAGGTCACTAGGAATGTGTACTGTTTAATCATGGTATAATTGTAATACTTGCACAACGCTTGACTAGTATGAGTAAAAGTCTATTCAATGATGTGTAATTCAGTCAGGTTTTTCCTTGGGTTTTTTGTTAAAAGTGTTTGTTGTGGGGATACACACCGTAGATCTTGCAGTGATCTGTTGAAGAGCCGTGGTGCATCTTTATTAGGCCAGGTGGAGTAGGACAGGCTGACTTGGTACTTTGTCTCTTCACAAGGGACGCTACAGTTGCACAACCCCACCTCTTCTTCTCCCTGGTCAAACTTAGCTGAAAATACAGGGATAAGCTATATTAGTAATGATGACACAGAAGTGTGACAGAGATGGTAATAAAAAGATTAAGGTAGTCCCATAGCATTTTTTAGGTTGTAGGGGCAGCAGGTTGTTAATCCACTGTGTCTAGAATATGTCATACAATCACATGTCATAATAATCCATTCATTGATATGATTCAATCAGGTATTTCCTAATGATCATACAGTACCTAGTTCTTCATAAGCACAGGTCCCCAGCTGTATCGGTGAACAATGCGGCATATCGGCAGGGCCTGTGGTATGATAGGACAAGAATATGATGTCCAAAGGTACAGTAACATTTCACATACAATGTTTGCGCATCAAACAGTGCAGTTCAGTCTGTGCCCGTGGTGGGTTAACAAATATGCATGTCACAAGACTAATTATTACCTGGTAGACTGGCAGGTAGACAGTTACAACTGTTCATCAGTCTTCTCGCCCTGCACTCCAGCAGACAGCCAGTCAGTGAGTACCTGTCAAAGTACTGAAGGGTCTTCTCAGGAACACACTGGCCCCACGGCTTTCTTTCATTGATATACTGTAGGGGTTTAAAAGGGAATGCAATCCCTTTTGGTAGAGTGTAACGTGTTTGTGATTTTCCACCCAAAACCCTGGTGAGGTCAACACTGCTGTTGACTATACATGTATAAAGCCCACTGTTCAAAGAACACTTGAAGATCCATTAATAACCGATTTGACAGCAATGCCTGATAAGGTTGTGTTTTCATTCACCACCATGTTGTTCTCCTCATGTCTTTTTGGCGACACCTCTGGGGTGCAGGCTGTTAGTTACATATACTTAGTCTAGTGGTCTAGGTACGTTTACCTTCACACTGTTTCTTCTCCAAACAAAAAATACCTGGACCAGATTGCAGCATGATAACTGGTTTCAGACACCACATGGTGTTGGGTTACATTATGTAGCAATGGCAGGAAAGAGCTGGAGGGCTGGTCACCACATGGATGTGTAACTGACTTATCAGAGCAGTAGTTTGTTAGTCTAAACCATGTAGTGACTTCTTACCTTTTGCTGTACGATGCTTGTGTACACGTGTGTCCCTGCTGCCACTGCTAGTCCCTCAGAGTCCATTTTAGGCGGGTCATGCTGGTCGTGAACCAAAAACTTCAGTCCCACGTCCATCGAGTCTAGGTTGGCAGGCTCTGTGTACTCATCCTAGATGAAGTAAGACTGCATTTTCATGGTTGCATGTTATAGCAAGTAGTCAAAGCTCCATGCTGGCAAAATAAGAACCACCTGGCAGAATAAACAGAAACTGCAGTGCTGAAACACACAGACCAATTAGGTTTGAAATATTAATTTTAAAATCTGATTTTTAACCTATTTGCGCAGACAGAGAAAAGCCAGAAACAATATCATATTTCACTCCCTTGCAAAAATATCAGTTACTAAATTTGCACGTATGGAGTAGGCCAATACAGAAAAAGTGTGTCCACCTGATGGACATAAAGTGAACTTCAGTTTAATATTAATGTTTCTATGCATCAAAATAAGAATACTCTTACAGCATGAATATTAATGAGCATCCTGAGCCCGTTCCCCTCCCCGGCAGTCGGCTGTGCCCGTGCAGAGCTGGTGTTCCAGTTGAACGTCCAGCAGTTTCCATACGGAGTGAAGTGGTGCTCGAAGTCCTTTTATGGAGAGAGGGATTAGTCAGGAAAGTATTTCAAAGAATATCCTTTGCCCAAGTCATATAAGTTACAACCCTTGTATCAGATATACATGTAACACTGTCACATTCTTGTTGCAGAGATTCGTAGCAAAGGCACAGTTCGGAATAGTCTATACATCCACTGAACTATGTCTGGAGCAAATTTATGTTCCTGGATGCACAGAGACTATCCAGAACTGAGCCTGATTCTAGCCAGGTAATGTAAGGTATACACATTAGGAAATAGTTACTCAAGCAACTGGACAGATTTTGGAATTCATGTATAGATAGGCACAGTTCTAGATAGAACTCATGGCTATGATTCTCTACAACTCAAAAATACATGGGATAGTTATTTGTTCCTGTCCTTGGTGCTGAAAACCAACAAACACAACATGGATCCACCTGTCGCCTTGTTATCAAATCCTGGTCTCTTATTGGCCGGATCATTAATTCTGATTGACAGTCAGAAACCTTACATTACACAAGCCCCGCCCACAAATTATTAGCCTCTAGCTTAGCCTCTATCAGGCTTCCGAAGCAGCAGAAAAAGTAGAAATCGGCCAAATAAAAGGATAATATACCAGGGGAGTTGGTCTGCAAAGGCAAAGAGGCAGCAAATGTTTGGCGGACCAACTCCCCTGGCATGTTATCTGTCTATTTGGCCAATTTCTACTCCTTCCAGCTGCTTCTGAAGCCTAGTAGAGGCTATCCCTAGCTCACCTCTTGGTGACAATCCTCGTCCCTCCACTTACACATGATCAGTGTGTCCTCGTCCAGCCGAAAACCAGCCTGTTTGGTCAGGTCTGCAAACTCTGTAGCATTGATAGGTGGAGTGTTCCAACTATTGAGCAAGGGAAGAGGAAACGATTGATTGATTGATTAATTCGATTGATTAATCAATTGATTGAGTTCCAAAGGAGCCGTTTGTACTTGTATTTAAAAGTCTTAAGTCATCTCATTAAATTCTCACTGCTACTAGTACATAATTGCTGCAGAATCCAATAGTAGACTTTATTTTGGGTACAGTAATTAAGGGAACTCAACAGCATAGGGTGTATTTTGGCCCTTTGAGATTACAAAAATCCAAGATATTCCTCAGAAAACAAAACTTGTACGCGTATCCCTGTTCCTTTCCCCCCAAAAATTATCCAACAAGCACATCTGTAATGTAACAGTTGTTGAGTAACCACAGTGAGGCATTGTATGTGGCGTTGTCCTTGTTGACCACCGCTGTGTGCAGGTTCAGAAGTTCCCACAGATGTTCCAGAGTGTCATTGGAAACCTTGGAAGCACGGTATCTGGGAAAATAAATCACAGAGTTACCAACACAACTATTTGGTTAAGTAGTTCTTGAAATGTAACAGCGATATCAGATATATCATAAAGTGTATCCCTATCATAAACTATGTTTATTACACCATGGCTTATGTTTCATACCATAATTTCATAGTACACATTCCTGGCGGCCCCATAGCACATCCTAACACCCAGGGCATGCCGGACCACAACCCTGTCAATCAACTGAAACACAATCCCCACCCGCCCATTTCCAATCCTTGCTGCTGAGGACGAAAAACATACAAATTAACCCTACTTACCTATTGAAGTTACAGACAGTGACAGCAGGGAAGATCAACTTGTCCTCGAACCTCCGGCTGATCTCGGTGTTTGTGCGGAACCCGTAGTAGTTCCCCACCCTATACAGGTTAAGAACGACACCACAATGATGCGACAGCACATGATGTACGTAATGTTGACGTCTTTGTCACAGAAAATGTCCAACATCAACCATACCGCATCCACAATGTTGTGATACGGAGCTGCAGCGTCTACCAGACGTCAGAAGCGGTTGCAAACTGTCTACTAGTATTTGGTCAAGTTTTACTATTTCTAGCAGCTTCTGATGTCTGGTAGAAGTAAGGGGACGAACAATAACTACATGTCAGTAAGGAAAGAAATATAATTGCAATAATATGCCTGGTACCTAAGTGATAAATTTTCAGGAGGAAGGCACCACTTAAGCCTGCTAATATCGCCGGCCAAAATGAGCAAACTGCAGCTACACATGTATAGATGATAAATTGTAATGTGGAGTACCAGAATTCACAGATTCTGAAGCAAACAGCGAACGAAAACAATTTGTAGTTGTGGGGGCGTGCGGCGTATGGACAGAGTGTTCTGCTCGGGACTAAGAGGTCCCGAGTTCAAATCCTGCCATGTTACCGCCATGGGAAAGGCACTTTAATCAGGTGCAAATGAGTCTGTTGTCCGTTTGTCCGCGTTGGTGGCGGCATGAAAATAAGTTGAAGAAACTTGACAGTGTGCCGCCATGTCTTGTAATAAACGTGAGAATAGAAAAAAAAAACAATTAGCGAACCTGTCGGCTATCCACCACACGCACACGGAAAACGACCCCAGGAAGACCAGCACCCACAGTAGCCTGTGGACCCGGTTGTGTGCGTTGGCGATCTTAGCTGCACCGTGACAGGTGGTGTTGGTGGCAAACTCGTAATCCAGAGGCCCCCCGCAGAGAGCAGCTCTCGCTTTCCTACAGCACCTGGATGTCATGCTACAAACAAGAAATCGGAGTTGAAACTGATAATTTGCACGCCGGGTAACCTGATGTGAGAGTGAGTACCGGTATTTCGAACTTTGGATACTTACATTGATTCATACATTTAGAAATACACGTATGATTACATGTACCTGTCGAGTATCTAATATTAGACCTATAGCATAATGTGTTTTTATTGATCTAGAATGCTGTCAACATTTGGGCCCACCAAACACTTGCCACCCCCAGAAAACCCCAGCCAGCGTGAGACTGTGTAAACACAGACTATACTAGTAGTACCCTCCAAGCAGAGGTTGAGGTTCAGGCTTTGACTTATTTTTGACCACTTTGAAGCGTTTTTATTCGGGTTTCTTTTTTCTACTGATATCCTCTTTTCCTCCAGGCAAATTGTAACGGCCTTGCAAATGGATACTGCCTGGCCAATTCGATACTATCTTTGCAACAACCAAAATATCTGCTTGGAGAGTTACATAAGAACTGACTACAGTTTTCGACTACCGAAATGCACGTGCACACATTTGTGCCGTGTCTCTTTTTACAGTGATCCACAGATCGTAATTATCACATACTGAAGAAGTGGATCCCACTGATAAAGTCAAAGTCAAAGAAAACTGGCTATAGTAGATGTTAATTCAGTGTAACTAGACTTAGTGGTTCGTGTCTACCTTCTCGTGGTTCAAATCAACAAACTTTGTTTTTTCTAAACGTTATTTCCTGGTTAGATAACCAGTGGGCAACCAAACGTGCAATTTCAATTCGATCCTTCACTCTACTTCGTGCAAAAGATGCTACATTGCAACTGAATTGTAACTTAAAAACTAGTACGTCTAGACCTTACCTTGTTTCAATTGTTTCTTCAGACTTTTCCACTCCCAACTACACGTTTTCGCTGTTGTTGTATGTCAAAGCTGATTTGAATCTTTTGAAGTTCAAAGTTCGACGAGTTGAGTTGTAAATTACGTGTACTTTTCAGGTCTGGTTAATCAGTAGCAAAAGTTTGACGTAACTTAACAAACAACTGTGCACCTATCAACGAGAACAATGAAGAGTAGGGGGGACGATCGCGCCCAAACTTTTCCTGTTTTTTTTTAATTATTTTTTGGGTTAAGTGTGTAATAAAAATAGATGTCATTCTGTAAAATATTCGTTACAACTAATAGTTAGGCAGAATGGGACGAAATGTATTTGCTATTATTTGCATCTCGTATACGAGGGGAATTTTGCATTTTGCATCAAGAACCTGACAGTTTCTGAGTCAGCCCTAACCAAGAACACCCTCCATGTGTATGCGTTCGGAGACATAAAAACACTTAAGAGTTTTTATTACTATATATTAACGCCAGAATCCATTGGAAACAAACGTCTCGCAAACGGTACTTCTACGCACCAACTTGAGGTGTGTAAACACAAGACCGTTACACTTGCCAAGTTTAACATCGACAGGTGCACGTTATGAGCCCTGTTTGCTTACCTTTGAACTCTAGGGCGTTGGCATCAACGTCTTGGCGCACGTAAACACATCGATTGGAACAACAACAAAAGACTGTGAACATCCCTTTTACATCTTCCAGTACTTATTAAGACATCAACCAAGGAAGGTATGTTGTTTTTTTTACTCATTAAAACATTGGCATCGTAGAACGTAAACAAAGAGTATGTGTTTTGTACAAAGTTTAGTTGAAGTGACACGTATTTTTTACTACAAGTACTTCCGTGTGGACTTTTCTCACAGGGTAGATTGTTTTTGACTCCAGACGGCCTCAAACTCTGCGAAAAATGGGTTAATTTATACGTGTTATTGAATCAGTCCCATCAATAGTTGTTGACATTCCACTCATTATTATACTTAGTAATAATATAGATTCATAAAGTTCTATTCATGTTCGTAAATCTGCCTCGGTAACGTTCATAACGTAATATGGACACTTGTTTATCTTGCTATTTGTTACACATGAACACATGAGGCAATATATAACTGTTAGTATATATAGCTACTGTACAATTCGTTGTGGAGAAGGCTTTCAATGTGGTAATTGGACTTGCTTGAATCATACAAGCGTTTTATTTTATTCATGATGAAGACTAACGCCACACAGTCGCAAATTTGTGGAAGTCCAACTTTTTCTTGTGTTAGAAAATACATTTAAATCTTAAATTCTTCTTCAGTTTAAGGCGATAGGTTGATGGGTATTTTGCCCAACTTGTAACATCGCAGTGGTGACCTTCAATTAGCACGAGCTTGTTTCTAAAGTCGACAAGTCATTGGTAATTTGTCACAAGACAAAGGGAAGTGAACACATGCACAAAAGTGAACGTCCCGGGTTGTTTAAGTAGTAACAATTATCCGCATGGTTACCGATACAACACGTGGGTGGAGGGTGGGACAGGAAGACCGAGTACAACCTCTTTACCGTGACTGGTCTGCCGTCCTCTAGTCTAGAACACAGTCCCTATGCCGTCCTCTAGTCTAGAACACAGTCCCTGTACCACTGGTCTGCCGTCCTCTAGTCTACAACATAGTCCCTATGCCGTCCTCTAATCTAGAACACAGTCCCTGTACCACTGGTCTGCCGTCCTCTAGTCTACAACATAGTCCCTATGCCGTCCTCTAGTCTAGAACACAGTCCCTGTACCACTGGTCTACCGTCCTCTACTCTACAACATAGTCCCTATATCGCTAGTCTATCGACCTCTAGTCTACCAACACAGTCCCTGCGAGGTCGCGGTCTCAGAACCGGCCACTAGTGGCTCGACCTCTAGAACGAACTTGTCTTCGCCTCCACTAATGACCTGTCGGGCGCAGTTTGTGCAGTAATTACACAATGGGAGTAGACCGTATCGGTCGATTTCACGAGTACTAAGACTAAACCAGCCCCTTGTGTTCACCTGTCACGGTCTTTGTGTCCTCTATTGACCCAGCGTGTCCTCAATCCTGCGGTCGTTACTCACAAGAACCAACAGGCAACGCCCATTCACTAGGCTTCCGGCGTCTTAGAGGGGTTAAAAGAGAGCCCTCGTTTACTCTACAAGAAGAGGTTTAGGCTTCGGCTTATTTTGACGTGTTCTTAGGCGTCTTTATCGGGCTTTCTTTTATGTACTGGTATCTTTTGTTACACCAACGTCCCTCAATTCGAGTGGCAAATTGCCTGGCCAATTTGATACTGTCTTTGCAGCCACCAAGAGATCTGCGCATGCTTGGAGATTCGTCCGCGGTAGTAAACTTTTGCAGTGATCGAGTTGGAACTAAGTAACCCGGCGGTCTCGGTCAGTTTTCCAGCATGCGGAGACAGACGTACAGCCTTAGCCAGAGACCGCCTCCGCAAGAGGACGACACCAACCTGGCGTCAGGGAACGAGGGCGGCTTCTTCGCCCGCGGACGAGAGTTCGAGAGCCGGTACGTCAACCATCACTACACGGAGGCGGAGAGGGAAGAACTCGCCAAGTACGAGAGTCTGGACTACCTGCCCTCACACTCCGTCGTCTATAAGAACTGGCTCAAGCGACAGGCTAACAGGTAGGAAGAAATGTATACTGACGATTTACCAATACCGACCTCTTGAGCAATGAAAATAACAGTAATAATGATTATCACTTTGTAATACTTTCCGAGATTTAAATGTCAGATAGTTGTATTTAGTGGGCACATATAATAACTGGATTTTAATTTGTTTACTACTGATTGGCCATTTCCTTACAGAACGTAAATTTTCGTTGGTTGCCAGCCAGGTATATTTTTGTTTTTCTGTGTGTTCCGATGGTAAATAAAAAGGTGTATGCTGAATGCAAACCTTCTGTTTGATATCAAACACTGATCTTCAGCCTAACCGCTGCCTTGTTTGGTGATTCCAGGTCAAATGCCTCCATACAGTATTTTGACGTGGTCTTTCGTTGATCTCATCCTATGTACATGTGTATGGAGTCGAACACTGCTATTTACATAGTAAAAATGGAGGTGTTGTGTGTCAGGTCTGTTTGTGTGTGTGTCTGCCTGTCTGTGTTTCCACATGATTAGTTAAGAAGGGCTGTATGTATTGTGATGATATTTGTTATGTGGGTGGGTCAAGGGAAGATAAATTCCAAGGTCAAATGTGGGCCTCCTGGTAGCTTTCCTTAGTACTGCAGCAGAACTTGTGTCTTTTGTCCTGGACATGCTTAGATTGTGAGAAAAAGTATTGTAGGTTCGATCCCCCTAGCAGCTTGCTCTGTAACCACGGAAACGTTGTTGTTAAAATGTTTGTGCACACAGGTTGGACTGGGACCGGTGGGTGATGATGGGGATGATCGGGTTCACTGTCGGCTTCACCGGCTTCCTGCTACATCAGGTCATCGACGTGCTCGCAAATCTTAAATGGGACCAGGCCAGGCTGTACTTAGAGGTACTGTTACCGCTTTTAAGGTCTGTGTGTTTGTGTAATCACAGTGCGTGTATTAATGCGTATATGTTTCTTTGGCAACGGAATCCATTCCATTAGAAAAAAAAAGAAACAAGAAAACAGGCCAACATTAAGACACAATTTGAAGTCGGAAGTATTGTTCTGGGTGGCTCAATAGTACAGGAAATGGACGTTTGTATGTATCGTGTCCCCACAAGGTTGCTTCAGGCCACATGACAGGAGATTAAAAAGTCAGACAGCTGCACAGATTCTATCATCCTTGTCCCCATTTAAGTACATCATACAATCTCCTTGGTTGTTCCAATGAATTCGCTAAAACGCAAAACACTTGCTGGAAGTCTGAAATCTTGTTTGGATAAGCATTTGTAAGTAAGAGCAACTGATAACCTTGACCGTTTGTCTCCCCTTGTGCACAGGGAGACCAGTTGCTGTTGACCTGGGGCTGGGTGCTCGGACTGAGTGTCGCTCTAGTCATCGTTGGATCTGGACTGGTCGTGGTAAGACATTGAAGTATTCTGTTTCAAAGTGACAACTTTTACAGTTACCGGTAGATGTGCAAAGATTAGGCGTAACAGCTTCTGCTGTGCCGTGTACCTGCTTAGCTGGTGCGTTACTCCAAAGGGCAATTATACAGGCTATACAGATACAGAGTCATTATTATAACATCTCCACCCTGTCCGCCAGTTCCTGGCCCCGGCAGCAGCAGGGTCTGGTCTCCCTGAGCTGATCGGTTATCTGAACGGGACCGTCGTGCACCAGATCTTCAACATCAAAACATTCATGGTCAAGTTCATCTCCTGCGCATGCGCCGTCGCCAGCGGGCTGCCGGTCGGACCGGAAGGACCCATGATTCATATGGGGTGAGACAGCAAAATAAGGCAATGTTTGGTCCAATACAACAACTTAATAATAAACTTATACTCTGAAACAAAAGATGATGAAATCTCTGTTACATGTTACATAATGTTCTTCAATTTGCTAAAAGTACAAAACACTAAAAACGAATATTTTCCTTGAACTATGGTGGAGCAATGAGACATAGCTATATATAGTAACCAGTCTTGTCTTTTTTTCTTCCGTTTGTTCAAGGGGTATGATAGGTGCCGGGCTGGGGCAGTTCCGGTCCGGTACGCTAGGGCTCCGACTTCCGTGCTTTTCGAGATTCAGGAACTCTGAGGACAGGTTGGTACCTCCTGAATCATGGTGATTGTTATTGGGTGATTGGGTTCTCCCTTCATGTTCCTGTCGTTTCTCTCCTATCCTGCCAGTACTTATCTTGATATGTATTCCTTTATATTAATTCTAAAGCATTAATGAGTCTAATAACACGCCTTACATGCAAGTGTGTGTGTGTGTTTCTGTGATTCCCAGTACTGACACAAGGCACACGTTCTATGACTGCTACTGTTTTGTCTACGGGATGGAACTTGAAGCAGTATAGGTAAGCGTGTGAAGTCTGCCATCTCTGATTGGCTTGTTGTCTTTGTTCCAGGCGAAACTTTATCTCGGCGGGCGCGGGTGCCGGCGTGGCCTCGGCGTTCGGTGCGCCTGTGGGCGGGCTGCTGTTCGCCATGGAGGAGGTGTCCTCCTACTGGAACATGAAGCTGTCCTGGCAGATCTTCTTCTGCTGCATGGTCGCCACGGTCACCACAGACCTCTTCAACTCCGCTTTCGAGGGGTTCGTGTACAAGGGCGACTTCGGGCTGTTTCAGGCCGAGAAGTACATCATTTTCCAGGTATATATACGCAATGTTTTCTTCTTTTAGGCAACACCTAAGTGGCAAGTCTCATAGTATAGTATGTAACCAGTTTGTAAAAATTCGAGCAATTTTTCAGGAATTTGTACTATGCACGGCTAGTTCAGCACCAAGGACAGGTCCCTCCAGCTGTGTGAATGGTGTGTCATCTGCTTTACTAGGAAACATTGTCATGGAGATTAAGGGCTCCTCGGCGGCAGACCTGGCTAAGACATGCAGGATGACTTCAACATATCTTACAGATGAAATATCCCAACAGGAATAACATTAAACACAACAAAATAGAGTCACGCAGTATCGAATTTTCCTGGCATATACATGTTACTTCTACAATGTATACCTTTGTGGTCAGGCCTTAAACAGAAGAATCACTACGGTTTGGCGACATAAAAAAAGAAACCTCAATGATTCTGACTCCCTGTTTTCTGTTTTATAACCTAAGGTGAAGTCTGAGATCGCGGTGAACATCATCGCCTTCGTCCCGGCGTTCGTGCTCGGCGTGCTCGGGGGCATGCTGGGATCGCTCTTCAACTTCCTGAACCTGAAGGTGGCCCGCTTCCGGCGGCTCCTCCTGGCCAAGGCCTCGTCCTACTGCGGCAAGAGACTTCTGCGCATGGCCGAGCCTGTACTCATCATGGTATGGCCTTATAGTAAAATGTTGAACTTTATTCCAACACACACATTATGCATGGATCAAATTTTACTATGATAATTACCAAAACAGATGAACTTTCAAGATAATCCAATGGTAACGCCTTAGTTTGGATATGGGTATACATCAGTTCGAGTTAGGATTAGGGTAACTCTGGCTTAGGATTATTTATGGTTACGGTTAGGTTTGGGGTCGGGTTAGGGTTGCATGTTTGGTTCCAGTGCTGAAATGACACAACATAATTATACAGTTTAATGATGAAAAACTGAAATGCATTAAAATTGGGTTTGACAGGGTTGTGACTTGGTGTAACCTGGGTAGTAGGACGTGGTATGAGATCACCAGGAATGGGTACTGTGTAATTAAGGTATGAAACATAAACCATGGTGTAATACGTTACATGATACAATCAATTAATAACATCCATTCTATGATGTAATTTTATCAGGTATATCCACATGATCATACAATAATGTTCCAATACATTCACACAAAACCCAAAACACTTTAAAAGGAAGTCTAAAATCTACCATTTCTCGATGCATTTTAGATCCTGATGGCTACAGCAGCAGTCTTCCTACCTGCTGCCTTTGACTGTACTCCTGTGAGGTGTGAAGAGGCAGTGGTGACAGGAAACACGTGAGTTCTGTCATGTGCATCCAAAACCTTATTTTACATCTTCTACAAACTTCAATTTTTGTTGCATAGAAACATTTAAGGGTAAGTTTTCTGCACTCTTCACAGTTACTCCTGTCTGAGTGAGACGTCCCGTCTGGACGTGGAACAGCTGTCAGAGGTGGAGACACACACATGTCCGCAACCGGAGGGAAACGGAACAGAGTCTTTGAACGGAACAACCTACAATCAAGGTACTTACGCCTTAACTCAGATACTTGGGTAGGTATGTACAGTCAAACCTGACCAAAAAGGCCACCCAGGGGACAGAGCCAAAGTGGTCTTTTGGACAGGTTTTGGACACTCTTGGCCAGATTGTTCCTACTGAAAAAATAATTATTGGGGACTGTGAAGAGCTGAATATTGTGGCCAGCTTGAAGAGGTGACTTTACAGGTTTGACTGTACGTGCATTTCACTGTATGAAATTCTTTAAGAACGCTTTTCTGCTTAACGTATCTCCTTTCAGTCACGTCAGTTTGTCTAAAACTTGACATTAGATTTTCAAATCTCATTTCAGTCGCCACCCTGATGTTTGTTACCGGAGAGGAGGGTATTCACCACCTGTTCTCGCGTGAGACCCACCGGCAGTTTGACTACGCGCCGCTACTGACGGTCCTGGCGATCTACTTTACCCTGGCCTGCTGGTGTGCGGGGTCCGCCATCTCAAGCGGACTGGTAGTGCCGATGCTGTACGTTTGGTTTCACTGTTAAACCACCTTTAGACGTAATGCATTAATCTTCAAGTGTAGGGGGAGTTACCATTTCCCTAGTGGTGGCCAATGGTTACAGGCGGCCAATGGTTACACACGGCCAATGGTTACAGGCGGCCAATATAGACTCCCATTGTCCCCAAGAATCTGCTTGGAAATTACTAACGCATCATTTTTGTACTGATAGAATAACTTAAGACCAAGGTGTATTTTGGTTTGATCCACATCTGAGAGGACGTCCCTAACTGAAGCTAGGTACTCATTTTCACCTGAAGTTGAGTGAGTGAGGAAATAGGTGTAACGTGCCTTTCCAAAGGACACAACAGGGGAGCCTGTCAGGGATTTGAACTCAGAACCTACAGATTCCGAGTCAACAACCCTAACCACAAGTCCATCTTGCCACATTGCAAGTGTAAAACCGGCTCTATGGTTATGACGAACGTCCTTTATGATTGGCAGGTTTATCGGCGGGTTGTACGGACGCGTGATTGGCCAGCTGCTGGTGACGTTGTTCGGAGTGCACTACGCGGACGGTAACAAGTTCTGGGCCTGGATGGACCCGGGGGCCTTCGCGCTGATCGGGGCCGCCTCGTTCTTCGGCGGCGTGTCCAGACTCACCATGTCACTGACTGTTATCATGGTAAGTCAATCATACTTCAACATGTGTTAAGATGAAATATCACTGTTCAAGGCTGTGGTAATGGTTGACCAATGTGCAGGTAAAGGGTAAAACAGAAGTTATTGCTAGGCGAAATCTGTAATGAGAAGGTTGCATGTACCAGTATATAGACTCCTATCTGAAAGAATTTACCACTATAGATTCCGATTCAAGATGCTGTTAATGTGTTAGGATGGTCTCTCTTTCACAAATCCTAATTTTCAAGTCAATCCATTGATCTAAAGTGACACGAATCATATTTGAATTTACAGACTCCAATTGGGATCACTGCCAGTAGAATCGCCGGTTCTACCAGATCGAAGTCTCTACGTATCCTGACATATATATTGTCTACTCCCAACAGATAGAGATCACGAATGACGTTCAGTTCCTGCTGCTGATCATGGTGGCCATCATGGTGGCGAAGTGGGTGGGAGACTTCGTGACGCACCCGATCTACCACGCCCTGCTGGAGCTGAAGTGTATCCCCTTCCTGGACGCCGAGCCCGTCATCATGCACGACGGCGACGAACCGTGAGTTTATTTGTTTATTTCAATTTTTCCCAAAGTGAAAGGGAGGGCAAAACAGGTGCATACACACCTTTACAAGTTGCCCTCCCCCATACAAAAACACATATACAACATCATATACAATATCAAAATTTACATGGTAAATAACAACAAGTATAAAAATGCATCAATATAAAAGGTGAGTGTGATTTAAGACGCTCTCACACATTCAGAACCTTCCCCGACCACCAACCAGCTAACCAAGGCTGGCTGACGTTTGGGAGCAGTCTGACAAGATGTAGGCCATTCCTTTCCATGCAAATCGAATTTCAGTTAAATTTGAGTCAAAGTCGTCCCCCGAACAGGCCCCGAACGCAGCTGATCTACTCATAACCATGGTTGTATGGCACACCCCACTGTGCCAACAAGATTGCCACAACCTTTTGAACAGTCTAAAAGACTCTAAATAACATTTTTTTCAGGTTGAATTTGGAGTTGCACTGTGCCCAGGACGCCATGTCCAGCCCAGTACGCATGGTACACCTTGTTGAACCGGTGTCGACCATCGCCAAGCTGCTCCTGGACACCCCCCACGGCGGATACCCAGTGGTACATGCCGAACTTCCTGGGGAGGAACCGACCTTTTATGGAATGATCACCAGGTATGTGTTCTATCATGATGGCTGTCAGGTACAAGGTACTGTAACATCTTTCTGACTAGTAGTATTAGGGTCAGAAAGTATCACCATACCATACAGTTGCACTACATTCGCAGACACACAAACACGTCCAAGAAGTCTGAAATCTCTTATGTTATTATGACACTTTCTCCTGTAGAATGGAGCTGGGTGTTCTACTCTTACATGAAGAGATCTTCGACACCAAGGAGCTCGTGACCGAGTCATTTGACCAGGAGACCCTTTTGGACTACAACGTGGTGAGATAATCTGGCTTAAGCAAATAAAGATCAGACGAGAGCAAATTTTCAATGGAGTCTGTATGTATGTATCTTGTCCTGAGCAGTGACTGGAAGTGAGTGTACGTACTAAAATTATATGTCAGTTGATTGTCAGGCTCTGCTTACCTGCAGGGATGGTAGGATGGATATCAACAGAAATGTATGATCATAGTATGAAATATAAACAGTTTAACAGTTACATCAGACAATCGTACGACTAATAATCCATTCTATCCTATTTCTTGTTTTTACTGGTGGAGATTTAATGATAGAATTTTTACTGTTGTTAACATGTTGTACAGGTGGCAGTGCACAAGCTCCAAGACCCAGGTGAACTGGACAAGCTACTGACAAAGTACTGCACCGACCCCAAGTACAGAACACAGTTTGTAAACCTGGTAAGCACGACTCCGCAAATCATAATCAAACTTTGAAAATATTCCCTTCACTCATCATGGCTAGCTGTCTACCACATCTTCTGACAGTTTCAGGAGTTAAAATGTTGAATATAGACATTTCTGAAATGAATGAAACTGCATGCTGTATACGATTCTTTGTATGTTTGCTTTGCTATGTCAAGGTGGGAAGACACAGTCAAATGTCTTTTCTCAAGGAATACCGCTTTAGACATTGGCTGTAGTGACATCTTTCTCTCACTCCCTCTAGCCTATCAGTCTTTTGCATATGGAATTTTATGTTTTCATGATGAAATTTTGTTTCCAACAATTGCACTGTTTTCTCACACGGACACACCTGCACGGACAATGCACCCTGCTATCTTCAAAGTGATTTTCTGAATGCGACTGTCGCTTCAAATTTAAGCTCACCTCTCACTGATCACCCTCAGCACGCTACGTCATGATTTTACCCATCAAACCACACGGTGCACGTGAATGATTTAGTCTGACCTGTCAGAGCATAAAGCCACCTGATCCACATAACTTGCACTCAAGACAGCACGTCAGCAGAACGTACTGCGCCTGCGAGAAAATGACAAATGATCTAGCCGACGAGTCGAATCGATGAGCTCTCGCGAGATAGAACGTGAAATCACTGACGACCCACATCTGTACGACGACGATTTGAGACTACAGACTTAGATCTTAACGAGTGACGTGCAAAGAGACCACGACAGGCAGACGTAGATCCGTACATTTAGTCTCACCTGTCACAGCACAATGCCAAGGCCAAGCAATCGACATAATTTGCACTGAAGAAAGACAGCGCGTCGGCAGAACGTGCTGTGCCTGCGAGAAAATTACGAATGCTTTCGCTCATTCAATAATCTAGCCAACGAGTCAGATCGACGAGTTCTTGCGAGAACATGAAATGACTGACGGTCCAGATCTGTACGACGACGATTTGAGACTACAGACCAATCTCGTCGCAACAAGTGACGTGACAAGAGGCCGCTACAGGCAGACGTAGCGGCGCATAACATTCCAGAACTGTTGTATTCGTCCGCAGCAACCCTACGTCAACCAATCATCGCTCTGCGTCAGAGACAACTTCTCGCTACACCGGGCCTACGTCCTCTTCCGAACAATGGGCATGCGCCACCTACCCGTGGTGGATTCTGGGAATCATGTGCTCGGCGTTATAACCAGGAAAACGCTGATGGGGTTCAGTCTAGAGGAACGGCTGACGTCCAAACTTCAATCCGAACTAAGGCAGCAAACCATGATGATGAACGGACATGTCTCTCTCAAAGAGCTAACAGAGCAGAGCATTGATGCCATGACCAAGGCGGAGAACAAGATGGTCTTTTGGGTTTAGTCGATGAAGGAAAACATGTTGCACATGAATAAAACACAGTGACAAAATATGCATAACTGAAGGATTAGAATCAGTCTAGTATCAGTGCAGTGAAAATAATTTTTTGTAGAAATCAGGACAGAATTTTTACAGAACAACAATTGCTGTGCTGTCCTTGGTGCTGAATGACTCTCGCAGGTTGTAAACTTTGATATATTTCACACCAGCGGTGCTATACGTTTGATTTCTAAGCAGCCATCTTCTAGCTCTGTTGCTGAAGGAGCTATACCTTTCGATCTGTCTAAACAAGTATCACATGAACACTTTTAGGATTAGAGCTTTCAATGTTACTTTTCTGTAGTAACCAGCATGCATTAGTATATCTAGTATCTGCAGCTGTATCTGTATAGCCAGTATAACTGTCCCTCAGCGTAATAACATACGAGCTTCCGTATCTGTATAGCCAGTATAACTGTCCCTCGGCGTAATACACTAGCTTCTGTATCTGTATAGCCGGTATAACCATCCTTTGGCTTAATCAATGGTCCAGCTAACACAGCATCTCTGTTACTGTCTCTCAGTAGTCCAAATCTTCTGTTGGGAAAATAGCTGCTCTGGTTGAAACAGGAATATTTATTTACTATAATCCCTTTTGTCTCGTAGCAACCGTACGTCAACCAATCGGCGTCCTCGGTGCACAAAAAGTTCTCGCTGCATCGCACCTACATCATTTTCCGCTCCATGGGCATGCGCCACCTTCCCGTGGTGGATTCTGGGAATCACGTGATCGGCATGTTAACCCGGAAGGACTTGATGGGGTTCTCCCTGGAGGAGAGAGTCGTGCAACGTCATCACCGGAACCAGGAAAAGTCGGCCGAACCGGGCTACGTCAACGCAGCTTTGGAAGACGATACGGGAACTACGATTCCGATTGACCCACAAGACCACATGATGTACTAAAAACTGTGTAACACACTGTTCTTATCAAACCAAAAATACAAAACTTTTATTTTGCCCACTTTTCACCAAAAATAACCTTTACTCTCGCCACTTCTTTCATACACATGAATAATGACATTAGCATGTATACTATTTATGAAGTGGGTGTTTGAGAAGTTTATTAAAAGGATCGGAACACACATAATGTCAAGTAGGGTATTCGTTTGAAGCTGTTAGACGACTTATTGTACAAACGTACATGCTGCCACAAACCGATGTAATAGTGCATAGAGCGGTACTACATATCACTAGCACAATCATTATGGTAAAATAAACAACATACTTTTTCGTGGAATGCTTTTTTTGTGACCCAAGTTGTGAGGGAATGTCTACTTTATAATCTTTTTTCATCATACATGTATATATATCAAATCTGTACAAAATTACAGCAACTAAATAAAAGTCTTTGATTGAAAGCTAGATAGCATATCGTATCCAAAGCACAGCAGTCACAGATTTTTCTGGTCATGTCATTTCAAGTACAGCTGATTTTTCCCCATTGGACGTTGTTCGTATCGTCGACAGCTCGGTGATTTCTGTTTTCTCTGCATCTCCTGCCGCTGTGTTCTCAAACACCATGGCGTTATCCACCTTCACGCCATCCTTGGTGGCCGTTTTACTGGAGGGTTTGCTCGAAAATAGGAAAAATGCCGAAAACTTCAGGGCCAGATATTCCAAGAACTCCCACAAGGTGATGACACTGCAACCGATGAAGAACCCGAGCTGACCTCCTACGTCACCTGTGTGAGAGGTCAAAGTGTATAGGTCAATGTCAGGGTAAGGAACGTCACAGTAGATAATGCCTCGGAGATTTTAGTGACTACTAGATTCACCTCAAAAACGATGAAATGAGTACCAAAATGATTTTTTAATGATCAAATGTTTTTGAGGCAAAAGGTAAATGCCAAAAGACTTAATTAGATCTTCCTATTTCTTGCGACATGAGAACTAATATGAGATTTCATATAAGCACAGAGGTTTAAGCAGTGAAGTCAAACTAAATGAGTGGTGCAAAATTTGTCACTGAGTATAGTTACAAACCGACGGTTACGGCCCTGTCCTTGGTGCTGAATGTGTCTGGTAGGTTATGGGCTTAGTTATATTTCGCACGATGAATACAGAATACTTACTGATCAGTCCGGACTCTTCAACTGCCTTGAACTGTTCCCATGATGTACTCCTCAGTTCGTGGTAGTACACGTCCAGTAGGACAACGTTCGTACTGAGAAAATGGTGAAAATGCAGCGTAATGCCATGTTGATTTGATTATATGGATGACATCCTCTGGGAACCCGAAAACTGATGCGAGCGTGCGAATAAAAAAAAGTTTTGACAAAAAAAAAAGTTGCTTTCACTATGAAATATACGTGGTCATGAAGGTTGAACAAATGGCACAGAATATGTTATGGCGAATAATCTACTCTTCGAATTCATTTCTTTACATTTTTGTCTTTTTTCCTTTGATTTTGGCATTCTACGACATTGGTGTCGTTTCTAAATGTTTTCCTTGCAACTTATTGTATATTTTGCTCATTTAGCAACTTTTTTGCACGATTTACAGTATGGTTGAAAACTTTTTTTTTTGGGAAACGGCCGAAAATTCATGCGCGCGCGGATGTCATCCATATAATCAAATCAACATGGCCTAAGTACAAACCGAAGGGTGGGGCCTTAGCCACATACACACTAACACTAATCACATGCATATTGTCACGTTTATAATACTACTATGTCTTTTCCCTACTACTCTCCAAACAGAGGTTCAGGCTTCGGGTACTTCGGCAAATGGATACTGCCTGGCCAATTTGATACTGTCTTGCAGCCACCAAAAGATCGGCTTGGAGATTAAACCCCAAATGTTCTACCACTACCACTAATACAAATGTTTGATGGACCTTACCTCATGTACCCTCTGCTATAATTGAAAGTTGTTTCGTAGAACTCTGCAGCCTTGAGTGAAGGGTAGCCAGCGTACGACACTTGTGAGGAGTAGGAGGTGTACTCACACGGCACCGTGCAGCCGCAGAAGTCAAACTCGTTAGTTTCGCTCAGAAACGTAGCTGGAACAAAAATGTTTGGGAGAATAGTTTTTACTGAGAGTTATCTGTTTTCAGCCAAAATACGTTTCAAACACAATTCCAACGTAGGTACAATCACCAATACAGTAATCCCCCTACTAGTAAAAAAGCTAATACCCTCTAACTCTTTCGTCAGGAAGAGAATTGACAAACCCTCTAATACTAGTGAATACAATACAAACAATTCTATAGACCGTACATCTCCATATCAAAGTTCCAGCTCCAAAGTTCTGTAAATGCACAGAGAGTTTTTAGAACCTACCTAAGGTTGGCAGGGCGCATGTTGTCAGCTCCAGTGCTGTGCAGTAGTCCACATCACCTACGAAATGGAAGAAGACAACGAAAATACACCTTATTCTCTCACCACAGGTAAGACAAGGTAACAAGATATATTTGTTAGATAGTTAGTCTCGCAAGAATTTAATTTCCGAGAGTCTAATTATGTTGTTACGGGAGCCATTAGTTCTGGACGGGATCTGAAAATTGGCTTGTTGGACTGCTAGGATTTCTACAAGATATTACTTATATATAAGATGACATTCTGTAACACAACACAACACAAGACATTAACTGGATACGAACCTGGATAATACAAAGGTCTGCAATTGCAGGCTCTGACTACAATTTCTGCGCGGCATTCTAGCAGGCAGCCAGCCAGGGTGTACTTGTCGAAGTACTTCAAAAAGTTCTGGTCTTTCCTCGGGTCACACTGGCCCCATGGCGCCTGCTGGTTTTTGACCTAATGACCAAAATTGATATGAGAAATTACAAGGAGTCTTTAATTTTTATTAAGTCTTGGGTTTTTGTGAAAAATGTAAAAATATAACCAAAATACCATCAAAAATAGCCCAGATTTATTGCACTATATTGCACTACTTTAAGCTACAAGATGTGATATCGTACGTAGTACAATAGAGCATTGTTGTCATAGGAAGACCACGAGTACATATCGAATCCCCCCCTAACCAACTTGAGCCACAGATCATCATACGCTAAAATCTACACCTTAAGTTGTATTAAAAAGCCTCACGTGTGTCTGGAAGGTACTGGCGTAGGTGTGGCTGCCAGGCGCGACTGCAGTACCGACTAACTCCGGGCGGGGCGGTTCGTACTGGTCGTGCACTTGGAATACGAGGCCGTACTCCAGGTTCCCGATGAAGGGGTCCTCCGTGTACTCATGCTGTTGGTAATGAAACAAGGAAAAGGTCCCATAGCCTTTTACATCACAGAATGGATTAGTACTAAGTACGATTGTATGAAGTAACTTACTCTGGCATTACTGGTATGCAAGTAAGAACACATTTCTTGGAACCTCATATAACATCCTACCACCCAGGTCTACTGCTGAGCACGAAGTACATGCAAAATCCCCTTAAAGTTAAACAAGTGCCACCCGAAACAAATTGCACTATATACTCTGGCACCCCTGCAGTCTCTACATTACCGTCTGTATGTCCAGGATGAGTTTGAGTCCGTTGCCCGCCCCGGGTGAGGTTTGCCTCAGCGGGGAGTTCTTCTCACTGTTGAAGGTCCAGCAGTTTCCGTACTCCGTGAAGACGTGGGTGAAATTCTGAAAAAAAGAGTTACACAATGTTATTGTACCCGTGTGCGTATGATACACTTACATACTAGTATATTCGTATAGCCTGGTTTTCAGTCTATCGCGGTTGGGGCGGGTTTTCTTCGGGACTGCTGAAGCTTTTCCCCGCCCGATCGCGACTTAGCTAGGTTTTGGAAATGGTCAGACGTTTCAGGTAGTACTAGTATCCACCACACTGTACCCTTCGTCAAAGACGAAGAACTCGTCAAATCGTACTGAAAATACACTGAGCTTTTCTACATCTACTAGACTCTGATCAGTTCCAAAATGTCATGAAAGTTCATCTGTGTTGGTAGTAACCATAGTAAAATGTTGAACTTTATTCCAACATAAAGATTACACAGAGATCAAAATGTACTGATTTTTCATGTGGCGTGACCGTACTTCAGCGTAACACCTGCTCCCCCGCCATGAGCACTCGGCAAGCGTGACGTTGTCCAGTACGAAGCCGTTCCGTCGCACGAACCCGGGAAAGTCTTCCACCAGCCCCGCCGACGCGTTGAACGCGTCCCAGTCGATGCTCTCGCTGAGGTTGCGAAGAGCGACCGGATCGCTCACCAAAGCGGCGATCTGGTACAGGGCTCCCAGATACGCTAGGTCGTTCTCCGTCACACCTGAACCGCGGATTCTAAAAAAAATGCTACAGTTAAGGCTCCGTCCATGTGCGTTGTCAAACACAAGATGAACATATTTCCTAATTTGCATTAATGTAGCTAACCTATAGATTTAAACGCTCTTAATCTGACCACATGGCGTGTCTAGAATATACTAAGTAATGGGGTAAATTTTTGGACGTCAACGCATACTGCACACACACACAAACACACACACACATACACACACGGGCACACACGCAAGTAATATTACCTATATAGGAAACCACACACCTGTTAAAGTCACAGATAGTGACCGCTGGAAACGTCAGTTCGCTCTCCAGCTGCACGTTGATCTCTGTACCAGTACGGTACGCGAAATAGTTGTTGAACCTGCATGGAAGAGAGAAAAGATCAAAACTTCGTGGCTTCCTTCGACAGCCAAGAGAATAGAGAGTAGGGCCGGGCAACTCCAGTTTGGCTCAACTCTATACTAGCTCACTCAACTCCCCCTTTCGCGATAATTTGGTGTAATAAGGCAAGGCTCTTCGGAAACGGCTAACGGCTACTGCCCGATACTAGGCTGGCTCCCAGGGTAGACAACAATGGAACGGAGCTGCATGTATCTCACCTGTCCACTATCTGCCAGGTGCAGAGCCCAAACGCAGCCAGGAAGATGAGAGTCCACAGCGCCATGTGGGGCTTGTTCTTGGCGTTGGCGATCCGGGCCGCGCCGTGGCACGTGGTGTAGTTGGCGAACTCGTGGTCCAGAGAGTTTTGTTCGTCCCCCATGTTCACTTAATGTGGTGTACCGTAGTACATGTATCCCCAACGTTCCTGGAATGATGGTTATTAAAAAAGATGTCATGAACAACTCGAGTCCGTGCATAATCAGCTTTTCGGTAAGGGCCCGGTCACATACGTCGTAATATCGTCTTGCGATCGCAAACTGATGCAGTGTGTCACACCTTTATGTCGGGCGATTGATTCTGTCACAGCCTGCTTAAAAAAGGGCGACATCGAAATCGTGCGACGACCTACAAAAGTATGCGACCACGTTAAACTTTATAAAGTACAGATTAGCAATTGTAGCCTCAACTCATTTGGGCCGCAAGTGGGCAATCCTGGCTGAACATATATCAGTATTGTTGGATGCAGTGCTCACCTTAAAAGCATATTTTAACCTTGGGTCATATCCCAAATAAACTTGAACCTGTCATCGCTCACCAATGAGGGGCTGTGGTAAGATGTCTAAGATTTCCCTGGGGGCATGTTGGCCCTGTAGCCGAGGATCTACCATGCGACATTCGGGTGCGGACCAACTCCCCAGGCATGTTATCTGTCTATCAATTTCTACTCTTTCCAGCCGCTTCCTATGCCTGGTAGAGGCTACAGGATCCTACAGGAGCGCCGGAGCTGGTCGGTGTAGGCTCTGGAAACAGTCTGGCATCCAGGCTAATCGAGGGTTGAACGTGACCCAACACCGCAATCTCTCGATCTCGGGAAACGTGCATTTAATTAACGCCCACTCGGCACGGATCGGTCGATTACTGATCAGCACGGGAAACGATAGCCCCTGTGCGTAACTCCGGCCTCCCTGCCGATTTTATCGGCCGATACGGTCGGCTCCAACCGAACAAAAACAAAGACTAGCCTGTGCAATGGTCCGTGATGTTTTCCTGGTCTCAGACATGTTGCTAATTGAAGTTCCACTAGAAGCAATGGTTGGTAAACACCGTTCGATACACAGTCGTTCCGTTTGCAAACAGAGACTAGCGACTCCAGACTTTTTACAACGTTTCTTTTTTTTTAAATTCCTTTAAATTCATTGGTTTTGTTAGTTTTGGTTCAGCATGTTATTATTAGCGGTTAGGTCACACTGACATGATCATATGGATGGCATCCACACTGGCATCAATTTCGTTAATTCGTTAGAAAAGGTTTGCGACCATACTCACAACTATACAGTATACTGTTTATGTACTTCAAGGATGACAGAGGTCGAAAGGAAAAGAAGAAAATGCCAGATGAAGGGAAGCAGGGCTCGAATTACTAGTAGACTTACTTGCGCCACCAAGTCTTCCATTCCAAAGGCAAAGAAGATGTGAAAGAACAAAACTAGAGAATTAATTGTTTGGTACGAGTATACTATGCTCTGTGTGTTCTGTCATTTGTTCAGCATTCCTGTCCTCAGTTTTAATGAAAGCAAATTTCCGCCAAACTCTTTTTCTTCGCACGCCCGCATCAGCTTTGTTGTGTCCCGAGGATGCCAACCGCCTGGCCCATCCGCATTATCAAATCAGTACTGCCCAGTGTTGACCGGGGTTGTGGAGTGTATGCTGACAGGCCGTGTCCGCTGGGACGCCTGGTCGTGACCGAGATCTCCGTTTCCAGATGCCACATAAACAAACCCTTCTCATATAACTATATGCACAGATACAGACAGTTGATCTACTTGTCCAGAGGCTCATAGATTTATCAGATTTAAAATTTTTATGTCATGTCATGTCATGTCATATCACATCACATGTTTTTAAACATTAAAAAACGTATTTAGATGATACGATGATAGAATTTGTCTCTCTGTTTCGTTCCTGCTTTAGTTTTACGTCATCCATAATCGTTTTACTGGTACCTCTATTTTTCTTGTGAGCAACGGATGTTTTCTCACAATCTATCAAAGCAAACAACGGCCCTATTTTAATAATTCATGTTCATTATCCCTAAACCTCTTTTCTCTCGAAGTTTATGTAAGATGATCCAGCTTGTAGCTTCCGGTGTCAAGGCGAATCAGTTGGTCAATGTCAATGTCATTGCTTTTTTTTGTAACAGATCGTTTACAAGAAAACACTGCGACTCTAGTTAAATTGCACAGTAATTGACACAGTGACTATGTTCTTGAAGTCGATATTAGTTGTGTACTCGCTAAGAAGACTATTAAACACGTAGATAAGTCGCGGACTTAACGTCACAACAACATGTCGACAGCCAAAATGAGGCATAAAACGGTTTACACAAACAAAAACCCTAAGAAGAAGACTAAGCACGTAGATCGTCGTGAACTTAACGTCGACCACAACAACATGTAGAACATGTGAAAAAACTGTTCTGTAGTGCTAATTTACAAGCTTGTTTACCTATGATCAAGGCGTAAGCCTGGGTACCATCCTAGGTTCCCATGTTCACTCTTTCGTGAACTGAACGAGTAGGGTCAGAAGGATTTTGAATCATATATGATCACCTATATCTAGTACTCGTATTTACCCACCACCACCCCCTCCCGCCCGTCTCCTGCCCTATGTAAAACATATCTTGCATCACTCCACCATTAGTAATTCTTACACTGCACTATCATTTTGTGTCAAACCCTTACAAATATCCCTGGAACAAGAAGAAACAAGACTTACCGACAATTCTGACCCTCAGAACGACACCGTACCACACACGTCACCTTATCTCACCTCACAGCCCGTGGCACGTCCCACGGGACCTCGGTGTCCCTCTGGTCGCCCGTGGGCGCCAAAATATGCTAGAAATTTGTCGAAGTGGATTTCAACACGCTTCACACAGTCGGAAACTGGCCTGTTAAATCACGTAGGTATTAAAGACGCTAATAATGAGGTATGTTTGTTGCTGCTCAAAAATCCCAAGATATCAAGACCGGGCCACGGATGACCACACCAAAAGGACTGTGGATTGACTAAATATTGAGTCCCGTGTAGAGAAGGCAAACCAACATTTCAAGAAAATTACACTCGTAAATGATGACAAAGAACCATGTGACTTTCAGTGACAGTAATCATTCCAGACGACCTAAGTATAGATATCCTAAACGTCCTTGGTCACACGTAGTCACAACAAAGAAGTTGAAAGAAGTTACGACCACTCCCTGTCTAATTAGCTTAAGTACTGCGACCGATAGGACGTTCTTGTCACTTTGAAACCAGAACACAAATACTACACTACCAGGTGTGGCTATGGACGACAAAGGCGTCTATTTGTGAGCCCAGCGGGGGCGCCATTGGCAAACAAGAATTTCAGCTAAAAGTAAAAATCTCAGGGCCTCAAGCGACAAATCTCAGAAGTTACCGACCACAGAACACACGGGGTACAACAAAGAAGAACTCGTTCACCTCTTGGCGATCGCGATCTAGTAGTAGTTGAAGAACAAGCTCCCGTACGTACGTAGGTTAGACCGAGGATCAGCTGTATGTGGTTACCGTGTCGTCTGTCAAACCTGCGAGCTGGTACTGTTGTTACAGTGTTAGGAATGAGGCTGAGAGGTATGACCTTTAACCTCTCGTTAGTTGCGCACCACAGGGTTCTATTATGTGTAGGTGGAGCGGATAATCACTGTGGGATCTCAAAGTAGCAGCCTAAACCAGGCTTCAGAAGCGGCTGGAAAGAGTAGAAATTGGCCAAAGAGATTAATTTAAAGGTGGAAAGATGTGGTTATCCATGTGTTGTTTTAAGGGGTGGGAAGGTAAATATGTTACCAACCTTTCGTAGGATTATTCAAGAAATCAGTCTCCAAAAGCTGGACCCAGTTAGTAGCTACAGTACTTGTGCGGTCAATCCTTTGTCTCGAGATCCGTACGATTACGTGTGCAACGTCCGTTAGGTCGTATCAAAATATACCCCGCCCATGGATTGTGCTTTTTGTTTGTTTTTTGTTTGCTTTTCCGTCGTTGCGAGTAAGCCTCAGTGGGCGTGTTGTGGTTACGTGAGACAGATTTTAACTCAGGTGTGACTGATACTTAAAAGGGCGCCACGTCTTACTACTCCTGCTGAAAAGGAGGTCATTTGTAACGTGTTGTCCGACTGAAAATGACAAGTGGCTTCACTGAAAGAACGATATCGATGACCATTCTTGAAAAGAGGTAGAATTACCACTTTCTATAGGTAAAAAGGCACCAGGCCAAATGTCGGCATCAATGTTTCTGTCATTCTAAGCTTTAACACAACATGCTTCTCATTTCAAAAGGAGACACATTGTAACGTGATAAATGGATAAAATTCAACAAGAGAATTCAACTGATTGACATGATTAACTCGAATTCGGTAACGTGTCATTATAGAGCTTTTATCGTTTGTATTTCATTCTAATATTTAACACAACATGCTTCTCATTTCAAAAGGAAACATACTTGTAACGTGATAAATGGATAAACTCAACAACAGAATTCAACAGCTTGGCATAATTATCTACTTCATACAACGGTAACGTGTCATGTTAGAGCTTTTATCTTTAATGTTTTCGAATGCCACAAACTTAACACCACAAACAGTACAAATACAGTGAAGATGCGCTTTTTAGAACATTCCTGAATATATCAAACTAACTAAATGACTATATAATGGTCACCTCAAGCATACCATGATTTCGGCGTTGACAATGCGATAGTCATTCAACTAGGTTTTGTCCTATTTTTCGTTTTAACTTAATATTATAGGTTATGTTCATAACGATTGAATGCGAATTTAGTTTGTATACAACAACGCTTGCACAAACGTCATGCCAATGTGGCGACACCAGTAAACAACGCGCAGGTATGAACAAGTAAGAAGTCAAGGTCGACAGATGACAGAAATATAGGTGAGTTTTCAAAGGCATTAACCGAACAAGCTATATAATAGTAGAAATACTAGTAGCCTATTGAAGGCGATTTCAGCACCAGGGACAGGTGCCGCGCTCTCGTTCACAGGTTCACCACCACGCACTCGACGAACTCGTCCCCATGGTCCAGCCTCTTCCTGCCCTGCAGCATGTCCCGGATGTTGAGCACGTGTTTCTGGAGGTACGGGATGAGCGTGACGCATTTCAGCAGGACCACGGCGGCCAGGGGGAACAGGGAGATCAGAGACACCGGCAGCGTGAACAGGCTGGAGGGTTACAGAAAATAACAGGATCGGTGATGACCTGATCAATTTTTCCATGCAGTGACATGCAGTTTCAAGATTTGGGTAAGCTGAATTACTTCGTGTTGGAAATCATGATCATAGTCAAAATCCTTCTTCATTGTCTACCTAGTACCTGTACTGTTTATGTATGGGACGGAACTTGTGGCCATACTACTAAGTTCCAAAGACTAAGTACTGATAGGAGCTCAGGAATCTTAACAATGATCAAAATCAGTCCAATAGGAGCTCACTACTAGTCATCGCCGCGCCAACATCATGTTAGAGCATGTGTGTAAAACAACAGGATTTAGATGTTCGCAATTTTCCTGACTTGAAGGCGTTGGTCGTCAAGCCTCCAGGTAAACGATTGGCCTGACCATGTACCAGTGGAAGGGTTGTTAGAAGCGTGAAATATTCAGGCTAGATCTCACCTGTAGAGGGATCCGTTCGGGTAGACCTGTATCCCCAGGAACACGACGTGGAACGTGGCGGTAAACAGCGCGACCGTCCCCAGGTTAGACCACAGGAAGGTCGTCTCCCGCCAGTTCAGCTTCTCCTTCCCGGCCGGCATGTTGGCGACTCCCAGGATCAGCAGCGCTGAGAGGGACACCGCGCCCATGGACACAAACGCCTCGCCTGACCACACCATCTTACCTGGAGGGGAGGGGGAGAGACGACTACAGCTTGAGGAGGGCTGATATAACCTTCTGCATATCGAGTCTCCTATACTATAGACTAACGACGTGGGTTCAAAAGAAGTAAAATTTAGCCAGATAGGAAAATAATTGGCCAAGGGAGTCTGGCTACCGCAGAGTTCATTTTTTTACCTTCGAAGGGGGAAATTAACCTTCCTGCGAACTGACTGTCCTGGCCAACGATTCTTCCTTTTTTACCGAATTCTACGATCCGAACCCCCATTGGAAGGCCTGGAGGAAGTTATATCATTGGTGGCTACGATATTGAAAGCTGAAACAACGATATTAAGTCCTACTGTATATCAGATAGTGAATATAAGGAAGCCCGATATGCCATCAGGCACAGGAGGAACTAAGGTCTAAGGTAAGGTATATCAGATGTTGCCCTACCAAGAGACGGGACGCCGCGGTTGGAGGTTTTCTCGTACAGCTCTGGGTAGTAGGTGGGGCTGAGGATGGTGAGGGACATGACGGCGTGCACGGCTGAGATGATCACCCCGACCAGACAGATGTGCCGCCGAGCCTTCCGCCACTCCCCCAGCCACGAGGGGAAATCGCGGTATCCGTAACCCTTAAAGGTAGAGGAACACGGTATTAACTAGAAAGGTAATAGTTGCAAAGCAAATGCATAATGTTTACCTTCAAATTGTCTAGCCCAATAAACTACAACTCTGTTAATTACTCAAACGTAGATATGGTAACCAGCCCTTCAACTCTGTCCTGCCATTGCTACATAATGTGATCCAACACCACAGTGTCTGCCACAGGACCAGTTATCATGGTAACAGACGTCTGGTCCAGGTCATTGACCTTATGTATTTGGAGAAGAGGAAGAAACAGAGCAACATTGGTCCCCGAAAGACGCCACGACTGACTCCTTACAAATCAGGTTTAAGTCTGCAGTTTCAGCATGCACCATGGAATTTCTCACCCCCACATGTCAACTATAGATATCCCCACAGGGTGAAAAGTGTGTTCTGTTACCTTGAAGATGCGCACGAGTCTGATGAAGACGTCCGGGAAGAACGCCGCTGACAGTAAGGTCCCGGCCACGAACGCCAGGACGCGGTTAACCAGGTATAGGGGCAGGCGGGGGAGCTCGTTCGAACCGTCTGAGACGGACGGGCGGATTATGTCCTGGAGAGACAAGACATACAGGTATATGTAAAGGTAGCTATTAAAACACATACAGCCTTTTTGAGACCGTAGGGGCAGTGAGTTGTGCCACGGTATTGGAAAGCAAAGCCCATCCCTCCACCGCCTTTTACCTCCCCAACTGAAGTCAGGTAAAGTTACCAATTTTACAAGTATTGTTTTGGGAGGCGCTAATTCATGGTAGGTTTGTATGTTTGTATTCCGAAGTGAGTGGGCTGAGATTAGGTTTTACTTGATTGATAGGGGTTTGACTCGGTATTTTCCAGATCGAATCTGGAAAAAAGGACGTCTCCCAGGTCCGTACCTGAATCACGACGTCCTGAATCATGACGTACCTGAATCACGACGTCCTGAATCATGACGTACCTGAATCATGACGTACCCGAATCATGACGTACCTGAATCATGACGTACAGGAACATGACGATGAAGAGCCAGATGCCGACGCTGACGGGCAGGCCCCAGTACGGCAGGAAGCGGGCGGGGATGGTCTCGATGTGTCCCGCAGACTTCAGCGCGCCCAGATCGACGGGAATGAGCCCCAGGTCATACACGATGTGGGTGACCGTAGCTTTGGCGTGGTGGTCATCCCCACAAATATACACCTGGAGGTAACATTGGTGTCGACAATATATATACGTTGAGGTTACAATTAAAATACAGTATTGCTGTCAGATTCCTATGACAAGAAAGGCGAACCACTGAGACTGATATAGGTTGATACAGTCTTTGGTACAATCAATTCTGGTAATTTGGTAATCTACCAAGTTACGCAAAGTAGGACACTATATGTTAGGCAACAGTCGTTTTTCCCGCGTACGATCTATGATTGGAACAGCCTCTTTCGTCCTCTCTGAAAAAGAATTCACTGGCAGAATCTAACTACTCAACCATTCCCCGCGAACACCAAGAAAGGCAGCAGAACCGGCTGCTTCAAATGAAAGAAGAAGAAGAATCGTTAAAATCAAGAATAGACCATAGATGCAACATCAGGCATAGATGCTGCTATGTCCTGTAGGTTGCATTGAGGTCGGGCTGCACCTGTTTGGGACCGTCCATGAGCTCGGCGTCCAGCGCGGCGGCCGGGATGACGTTAAACCCCTTCACCACCCTGCAGGACGGGAACAGCCGACACTGCAGGTACTCCGCGTTAGAACGCAGGCCTGCAGACACGACAGGGAGAAAGGAAATATTCAGCTAGCTGGCCTTGAAGATAACAGTTGCAAAGCTTATGCATAATGTTTACCTTCGTACATCGTATGGTCTAGTCTAACAAACTACTCATAATTCAAACACATTCATATGGTACCAGTCCAACCAGCTCTGTGTTGCTACGTAATGTAACCCAACACCACAGGGTATCTACTAGTACTACAGCACCAGTTACCATGGTGACAGACGTCTGATCCAGGTCATTGACCTTATGTGTTTGGAAAAGAAATAGAAGGTAAACATGAATTTACAGTTCCCTCCCCTGCCATGTCATCTGTCTATTTGGACAATTTCTACTCTTTCCAGCTACCTCTGAAGCCTGTTAGAGGCTAAATGTATACTACAAAAAGACGTCTACTCCCCAGATGTCTGAAATCTCAAAAGTCTTGTTTTCCTTTGACCTATCAACCTGATGACGCTATTCAGAATGTACTCCCCCCCCCCCCCCAAAAAAAAAAAAAAAAATTCCCCACCGTCGTTGAACCTGCTGGTGATGCTGACGTCCACCAGGACCTTCCCGCCCATGGCGTCCGCCAGGAACCCCAGTTGGTCGTAGTGATCCCTGCGGACCGCCAGGAACACCACCTCCGCCTGCAGTACCGCCTCGTACCGCGTGGTGAGCGTCACGCCAAGCGGCACCACGGTCTTCATGGCCTCGGCGTCACGTGTGCCCAATATGACCTATAAGACGAAGTGTTTTTAATGCTCGAGCAGATCCCACGGTGGCAAGGAGGTATCCATTGGCCCGAGAAGTGACCATTAGCCACCAAATAGTAATGGTCACTCCTCAGACTAATATGGATATTGCCTTTTCACCGTAGCATCTGCTTGGAGATTGTTTACTACAAGTACCCCTAACCTATATCGTTATCAATGTCAGCATTTTAATATGACGTCTTTATTATGTAGCCAGGATGGCTTCCATCTTTCAATATATAGACATTTCACTTTTTCTACAAAAAGAACGTTTATAAACATTTGGGGAAGACGCCGTCGAGTGATTTAAATCAATATTGACCTACGGTCAAACAAACCCATATACACGAATGCACGCACAGACAGAGAGACAGACACACAAATACTGAGACATAAACACACACACACACAAACAAACAAACAAACACACACACACAGTGATGTATTTCCAATCAGTCATCTTTGACTGGGTAAAAAAATTCACCCAGATAATCAAAAAAGTTCTGGATACTACTAGTAGTACGTACCTGGTAGCCAGACTTGAGTAGTTTCCTCGCCAAGGCCAGCCCGAACTCTCCACAGCCGAGAATCCCGACGATCGGCGGCGGGGCGTCACGCATCCCCCTCCCGTCCAGCGTGGTCCTGGTCCGCCGCTTGGGCGTCGCGCTCCGGCTGGAGCTCATGGAGACGTCCCCGTGCCTCCGCGCCGGGGTGGAGGTAACACTCGGCGCCGCGGACTGGTCCCTCATACGGACGGGTGTGGACGTGACGCTCCCATCCTCCCTTACCTCCTTATATTCCACCATCATTTTGTTATTTGAGCCAAATTTGCCGCGCGGAACTTAGAGGTACACTTAGTGATAGTGTAGCCTGGTTACCATTCCAAACAGGCCAGCTTAGGGGTGTTTTACCGACCGCAGTCCTGCGAAACGTACACGTGGACCTCTTCTTGCATGCTGTTTTTCCAGCCAGCTTGTCTAATTATTGTATCTTAGACGAGCCAATTTATGTCGACACCATAAGAAATCAGCGTGCGCCAAAAACCTGGACAGGCGAACAGTGCTCCCTGCACCGTAGATATATCGGAGAGCCTACGATGGTTTGGGTGCCAGGCTATACCTGCGGTGACTCACGCCAGAGTTATTTAATTTAGTAAATGCACGCGTCAAATCTGTTTCGCTGATATAAAAGTTGATACTGAATATACCCACGAGGACTGGGGCATTGTATCAGGTCAGCGGTGTGACAATAAAGAGACAAGAGATCGGACAGGTGGAAGAATGAGTTGAAAAGTGCAGGCTGGAAGATTGATCGTCCAAAAGAACTCTGACATTTCGGGCGCGGATGGTTTCATGTTATATGCTGTAAGTGTTTCGCCTAAAATTACCACCATAAAGCCATAGCTATATACCCCAATTGCATTTACCTTCGCGATGAGCTTATTTTGCAGAATATGGTAAAATGAGGTTTTCGCGTTGTTTGAAGTTCGCCGTTTTTCGCTGTTACGTGGCGCTTTTGATCCATGGCGACAGTAATCAATATGTTGACTAACCAAGCAGCTCCTAGAACTTCAGTGTTTTTTTCACCGTTATAGTAGTCGCTTCAGTAGCCTGGGAGCCATCCGGTTTTTTTTTTGTGTAGCGAGTGCAAGGAGCGCCGTTACAACGCGTACGGAAGGCACCCAGGCTTTCGCCTCTGATCCATGTATGTTAATGTGTCATAAATATAGAGGCAGGATTTTTCCGTATTGAAGAGTAAGCAATAAGCCAATCAATTGACCCAAATAGAAATGTATTGCTCTATTTAGGAAAGGTAACAATGAAAGATTCTAGCCTTTTGAAAGAAACTGATAGAAGGGGATCTGAGTGATCTCGATGAGGAGCGGAGGAGGGAAAGAGCGTTAGCTACATCTTCTTCTTCTCGGGTCACCATTCACTGCTACACTCTTCCCCTCCAGTACTCCGCACATGCCCTTCCACTGGGGGTCAGGGCTTCCAGGTCCTCCTTCGAGCAGGGTTCGGGCAGGAGGGGGCAGACAAGGAGATGTCTCATAGTCTGCTCCTGCCCACAGTCACACGCAGTTTGTCCGTCTGGGACAAGGCCCCACTTCTGCATTAGTGTCCTGCATCTTCCTGTGCCTGTTCTTAACCTGTTGAGACATGCCCAAGTTGGCCATGCCTCCTCCGCTCCTGGAGGGAGGGATTCCTTCGGGGTGAAGGTTAACTTATGTGGAGCTTCTTGGAGATGGTGGGACCACATGGCCATCCTCCGTGACTCTGCGCTGCCACTGAGTGACTCAACTGAGTGCAGGAAGCTGTGTTGTACATTGTACAGTTAGCTACATTGTACACATACTCAAAATTCAAGCAGCATATTTATCAATTGATCCAAGGTTTCTCTAACATTCGATGCTTGCATTGTTCACATTGTAAGGGTACCGATCACGACTACCTCTACAAAGGTGACAAGACAACCACCAAGTTGCCAAATGTCGGTCTTTTTGGAATCAGGAAATCGCGTGTTAGCCTCTGGGTGGATGGTGTCCAGCATCAGGGACCAACAGCTTGAATTCTACCTTCAACTGCCGGTTTGATATGACTACTCCTGATGTTAGTCTACCTTCAACTCGTCGCCATGCATATGCTGTGTCCAGTCCGTGTGTACCGTCTGTGTTACTGGAGCCGTCATACAACCGAATGCCCCCGCGAAGTGTCACCTGCCCCGCAAGCGTGTGGACAGCGTCTCGTACCTGTCCCGCTGCCTTGCGGAAAAACTCGGAACTGCACGTGACGGGCCACATGCTGACATACCCCAGTCGTGTCATGTTGGCAAACGCCTTTGCCAGCGCAGAGACACTGAGCGCCAGCTCGTTTTCCTGTAAGAAGAGTTCCTGTAGCTGCTGCAGGTGGACCAGCCTATCGGCAATTGCCCGTCCTCCCAGGTTTGTTACTGAGGTCTTTTGAAGGTTTAAAAGTTGGAGTTCTGTTAAGTGAGGAAATGTCTCTGCAATTGCTCCCACCCCTTCATCTCCTATCTTGTTATTCTTCAGATCTAAAACTGTCAGCGTATGCAGCAGGTGTAGCTGTCCAGCCAAAAGTGTTGCTGCGTCAGCAGAAATTCTGCAGTTTATAAGAAAGAGGCTTTTCGTTCCTTCCAGATATGGGAAAAGGTTTGCCAGGGCCTCAACGTCGCTGTCCAACAGTGCATGCCGAACTAGTGCCAGATTTACCTCGCCATTATTTGGCAGTGCCCCCGTCTTGTTCCGCAGTGCCTCCAACGCGTTCAACATGGAAGAAAGGAACTCTCTGTACGCGGGTTGGCCGTGTGACTCCATGTACTCACTTGAAATTCCGTATTTAATGCCAAAGCCTACAGCCGTGTTCAAGGTTTTCGGCAGGTCGCGGTAAATTTTCCAGTACCAGCACAGGAAGGGCCAGAAGAACCTGTCTTCCAGCAGGACCATCACAACTTCATTGTGGGGATAACGTTTTTCCAAACCCGCGGCGGTGCCACTGTTCTGCTGGAAGTACGCTCTGACGTAGAGGGTCCACTCTCCCCACCAATCTGCAAGACGTAATGACCACTATTTTTTCGATTCCGAAAAACATCAATACAAATAAGAGGACAAAGACAAATTGATGGCGGACTCAAGTTGCGGGCAAATTATATTCTTGTCGCCACTTGTACGTTATGGTAGATAAAAACTCAAAGTTGTAAAAAAATATATGAATTAACAAAATAGCAAATCCCTATAGTTTGAAACATCAATCCCAACTCCCCTGCCAGAGGAAAAGTAAGCAAACTCTAGTCAACAATACTCAATAGAGTCAGCTACAGGATCAAACATTCAGGACATGGTCTCGGTGAACACTGAGAACTGTAGCCTCCTTCGTAGACTTGTGCAAGGGCGCGGCGTTAATTTTTCGGGGAGCGACGCAAAAATCAGTCCCTCCGCGGCAAAATGTTCTCCAAAATACTCCCTCCGCGGCATAGATCGCGTCGCTCCCCGAAAAAAATAACGCCGCCATCCCACAAGTCTGGGAAGGAGGCAAAAGAACTGAATGCCCAGAAAGCTGTGGCAATGCTTAATTACCTGTTCCAACTGTTGTCTCGTCAGTAGCAGCTTGTGACGTCATGATCATAGGCAGAAGTGTAGACGATGTTGTGGAGGTCGCCGGAAGTGTTGTCTGGGTTAGAGTCTAGTTTGGTGAGAAGAAACACAACAGACATAAGCACTAAGCACATCAGCCATACTAATATCATGCCATGGTACTATAAATTAAAACAAGAAACCCCATATGTAAAATACATACTATACGTTAACAAAGTATGATTACAAGGTCAGGAAATGTTCATGGATTTTATGTAAAAGAATTATTACTAGATCAATGGCTTAACGTACCACCATGTTTTCTTCAGGGTCGGTGCTCAGTACTCTGTGTTGGCTGAGAATTACAGCGACTACAGTTGCACCAATAGCGGCAATGATGAAGCCAGCACAAAGCGCCACTATGCGGCCACGATGGGACCTGCAGAACGTACTGCAGTCGTCGCTCTCAGCTGTGGAGCAACAAACAAGCTGCTATCATAAAACCATTTTTTTTTTATTCCGAAACATGTAATCACAAGACGTGGTGACGACACACTCAAGTTTTTTCAACTTATATTAATGCTGACACCAACACAGGGACAGTACAATACTCACTTACACCTGAGCGAAGTGAGGAAAGTCGTGTAAAGTGCCTTTCCCAAGGGCACAAGATCGGTGGCATGTCAGGACTCGAACCCGGGGCCTCTGGTTCCGAGTCGAGAACGCTGCCGCTGCGCCACACGACCCCACACACCATTTTTGATGTGTACTTTCCGTGTAGTCTTCTTCCAATTGACTCTTGAAAACTTAACATATACAGATGTATATATCCCTATGTATATACCATGTATATAAAACAACTAGTCAGTCTGAATGTACCCTTTACTGTTCAATGTGAATTGTCTAAGTGCACAAACGTGAAGCAGGTTACTCACCCCTGCTCGGTTCTCCTACGCCGTGCCTCCTGACCACCGCGTCTTGTGCCGCCAGAAAATCGGCATCCAAATCTTCGTACGCGTTCTCTGACGGAGTCGGCTGGCCCAGTTGATCGGCGTCCATCCTGTAGAAAACTTGTTCACTGTTCTCATCGGCTGAGGCGACATTCATCTCGTAAAAGGGCTGTTCTTGTTGTTGTTTGTCTTTAGCAGCGGTGACGTCCATCTTGTAGAATGGTTGTTCTTGTTCTTTATTCGTAAGGATGATGTCCATCTCATAGAATGGCTGAGCTGCGGCATTTTTGATCGCATCTTGTGCTGCCAGAAAGTCGGGGTCCAAATCGGCGTAAACGTGAGTGGACAAGTTCGACAGTTCCTCGTCGTTTTCGTAAAGAGCTCGAGCGTGTTCCTCGTCGTTTTCATAATGTCCTTGGTCTCTATCATTTTCGTCATGTTCTTCGTCGTTCTCGTAATGTCGGTGTTCTTGGTCGTTCCCGTAACGTGCGTGGTTTTTATCGTACCGGTAATATTTGTGTTGTTCGTCATTCTCATAATGCCCTTGTTCTCCGTCGTTCTCATAATGCCCCTGTTCTCCGTCGTTCTCATAATGCCCCTGTTCTCCGTCGTTCTCATAATGCGCGTGTTCTCCATCATACTGATAATATTTGTGTCCTTTGTCGTTCTCGTAATGTTGCGTGGTTTTTATCGTACTGATAATATTTGTGTTCTCCGTCGTCCTCATAAAATCCTTGTTCTCCATCATTTTCGTAATGCCCGTGCTCTCGTTCGTTCTCGTAACGTGCGTGGTTTTTATCGTTCTGATAATATTTGTGTTCTTCATCATTCTCATAATGCCCCTGTTCTTCATCTACGTAATGTGCATGTTCTTCGTCGTTGTCGTAATGTGCGTGTTTTCTATCATTTTCGTGATTCGTGTGATCTTTGTGGTTCTCGTAACGTCCCCCGGTCCTCTCGTCCGTTTTCGTTTGCCATGTGTTGTCTGGAATTCCGTGTTAGTGGAGAAGTCAAGTCGGGCCAGTTGACCGGTTTCATCTCCTTTCCCTCTGCGAAGAGCGCGGTTGGTACTTATGAATGCGGCCCCTTTAGCAATAGTTTGCTCTGCTGGTAGACATTTTGCAAGGTCGTGGCCATCGACTCTCGCCTCTCCAATTTCTGCATTCTTCGGGGAAAACTCTTCGCCATATTCTTGGACAGGCTTCAAAACTGCTCCTGGGTCCTCCCGTGCACGCAGCGCCTGTCTCTGCCAGTCGAGGATCCGTTTGGTGCACCAGAACCTCAGGCCTGCCCGTCTGACGTACAGCGGGTCGGGCGGGCGGCAGGCCAGGGCATCGGCCAGCTGAGGTCGGGGTTCCTTCGGTCGGACCACAGGAGGTGGAGGCACTGTCAGCAAAAAGAACCAAATGATCAACGGAAAACAATTAACAAGTAGCCCTGTCTGAGTTAAGGTATCAGTTAGCCCAAGTAAAACAGAAAGTAGAAACAAACAAACAACAACAAAATCGCAGATTCCAAACCAAAGTATATAATGCATAATGTTCACAACGACTGTTGACAATTTAAGACATCTTAACAGTAATGTTACCAGTAACGCTATATGACTTAAAAGAAGGCTGATATCATAGTTATTGCACAATACATCCCCCCCTTTAGGTAGTGTTATATAGGCTTATAGTCCTACACGGATTAACTCATTTTGAGTGTCTTGTCAAATGTTTTTATTTTTTCATAATGTACAAGTGACGGCCAGAATTTAAGTTGCGTAGAAATTGACACCACCCTCACTTTGTCTTTTTCCATTTATTTGTATTGATGTTTTCTTGAATTAAAAGAAAAAGAATATTAAGTCTGCGTCACACAGCAGGAAAAATAGCTCGCCGGACAAATCTGTGAGCTCAAAGGAATATTTCCTGCCGGAATGCGGCCGGTATTCTCTTCATCATCGCCCGATTTGTAGATTCATTCGTAGGTTCATTCTAGTGGTGACGACTGGCGCTGAAGAAATTGATGGATGTCACTCGAAGCGTTTTTTCCGTATTTTATCGAGTAGTAGACTTTGTCAATGTACATGTGCATTTTTAAAATGATTTTTTTTGTTCTGGATCATTAAATAATATTATTACTTGGCTGAGAAGTATGCTGTTTTTAATGAGTGCGGTCGGTATCCCTTTGATCACCGCTCGATTTGTAGATTTGCAGAGACCGGCCAATCTTCGCAGATCGCTGAGTCCCGTAAAATGTGACGGGAAATTTTCAGGCGAAAAACATGCTCGATTCTATAGCAAGTTTGACCTTCACATGTCATGCACGGTGGCGCCCAAGAAATTCGGCCGAAGGTGGCTTCTAAAACGGAGAACATGCCGACTCACTGTGGTCCGGCTGTATGGCCGACTGCAAACATATCTGAGAACAATCAGTCGTATGTTCTACAGAAAATATAGATACAGTGTTGGTAACGCATTAACGTACCTGCTGCTTTCCTACTTTCGTAAAGTTCCGCCAATTCGTCTCCTTCACTCGGTAGACCCGCCTGTGCCGACGCCCCGGTGCATTTCTCGCTCTCCTGCTGCAGTGACGGTTCTGCTGTTGCAGTATTGACGGTTCCTGCGGTTTCTTCTCCACTCTTTCCTGGAGTTTGAAGGTTTTCCCGTCTTCCACGTCCGAAGTCTCGGTCACTTCAGTATCCCAAACCTCCATACTGACGTTTTCGGCCATGGCGTCCTTGCTATCTCTCCCGTGCGTCGAACTGACTGAACCGTATCGTCGCTTTCCTGTAGTTTTTTTTCTGTCTCCAAGTCTGGGCCAAAATAATAAGTCGCAAAGCAAGGCGATGATAATTTATGCTGTTGCCATGGAGAGGAAATTCCAAATAACGTCATTTGGACGAATCTAATATGCCTGATACCTGTAGCCTACAAATCTAACATAGAGGGGTGGTATAGACCTTTTATTAGGGAGAACATAGCTAATCTGTTCCAATACAGCAACGAAAACTAGTCAAACCTTCATATTTTGTACATCATTCTTCAACTGATTTCAGTACGGAACGCTCTACAAACAGTTTCTAGATTGTTCAACATTTTTAATCTTATTTGACCCCCTTTGATACAAGATCAATATACTGTTCGTATCACCACTTCATCTTAAATGATCTCTTTACCCAGTACTAGTAAAAATTGCAATTTGACAATTATGTGTTATTTCATTTTAGTGGCGTTGAAGAAGATTGCTACATGTAGATACCACTAGAAACGTCCTGAAGTAATCTCCTAATTCATCCAATACTAGAATGTGAATTGTCACTGTGCATTTTGACAATGATATTTTGGTGTTAGAAAATTTACTTTGCTGAACAGTATGCTGTGTTTAAATGATATTTTATTTCAAAGCACATTGTTCTTCATGTCACTATAGTGGCAGTACAGGAATGTTATTGTTTATGTTTACCTTCGCAGAAGGAATTAGAAATATAATATTGTTTTTGCCCTGTTTCTTTTTCTTCTTTCTCTTCTTCTTCCTCTTCCAGGTGCATCTTCTCCAAACAGGTCAATGACCTGGGCCAGACGCTTGTCACCATGGTAACTGGTGTTGTAGCAAACACCCTGTCGTGTTGGGTAACATTATGTAGCAAGTGTTAAAGGGCTGTTGACCACTTACATGAACGTGAGGAATAAACAGAGCAGTAGTTTGTTTGTGATCATGCAAATGATATCTTTCTAGTTTTATCATTTACTCTACTTTGTTGCCGTCCCGTAAAGCATATGAAAGATGAACTTGGGCCTAACGTTGTCCTCCATTTTGTACTTGACGTCAGAGAAGCCTGCCTTGTCAATGTTCTTCCACGTCTCCCTGGTGAGGTTACAGCCGCCCCCGAGAGAATAGAAGACGGGGTTGAAGAGTTGCTGCAGGTATTGTGTCCGGGTCCGGCTAGGGTGCCGAACGTGCTCGAAATAGTAGAACTTACCGCCCTGCGGAATAGAAGAGAGTTCAAGAGACATAGCGTTTTGTGTCTGTGTTGTTCGTTTCTGATATCATATATGTGTGAAACGGCACACACGTATACTAGCTCAAGTCAATATCCCGTGTGTGAACGTACGAGACGGCGCACACGTAGCCTGGTTACGTAGTACGGTACCAAACCTATTTTGGCTGCCGACTCTCTTTCGTTGTCTCCTAGCTATTTGCCGAGAGGACGACAGAGACCCGGCAACTAAAATAGGTTTGGTAAACCAGGCGCACGACCGTATACTAGTGCAAGTCCATGTCCCTACGATGATATACATGTACCATACTGTGTACGTGAGACGGTACGCAAAAATCGGTGTCCCTCCCTGTTAGTTATACTGTTGTTGTGACTTTAATTACCGGTTTGAGAACTCTCTTGACCTCCCCAAGGACAGCGTCGACGTCTTGGACGGAGCACAGGGCCAAAGTACACACCACCGCGTCCACAGATCCCTCCGCCACGGCAGACATGTCTTCTGCACCCGCAACTACGAACTTCGTCACCTGGATTAAAGATTAAAAAAGCTTATAAGGGTCATTTTTGAACCAAAATCAACCATCTGGCTAATAACATAAAACGTTGTATTTAGTGTATTTAATGAATGGGTTACAATGATACTCGAGATTAATCCACATCATAGTTTATCACGTATGGGATCAAATATTTATTTTTATCTTCATAAAAGGAAAACATTGTTTTTGCTCTTCTTTTTCTCCAAACACGTGAGGGCAATGACCTGTACCAGACGGCTGTCACCATAGTAACTGTGTTTGAGTGAGAATAAACAGACCAGTAGTTTGACTAAACCATGTGAAGGTAACATTTACCTTTTTAGTTTATTATTAATATTTTATATTTCATAAATTCTACCTTAACATCCGGGTACTGTTTGGAATTTTCTTCAAGTTCCTGTGCAAATTCAATGTTGGGGTCAACCGCAATCACAGAAGTTCTTGGGGGAAAATATTCGAAGTTTGCTCCCTTTCCCGGTCCAATTTCCAAAACTTGCAAATTTCTCCCATCCTGTTTCTTCAGTCCAGAAAAGACGTCCTCTTTCAGTACACAAAATCTCTCCTGGTGGAATGTTTTGAGTTTGGCACACAGCCAGAGGAACACAGGCTTGGCGTAGGCCGTTGTTTTCTCCGGGTTTAGTTTGGCGAAGGCGTAGAGTCCTACAGGAACGCTCAGGGGTATGAGGGTCGCTGGAACAGCCAAACGGCGAAGGACAGATGCCATATAGCGCCTTCCTGTGGACATGAAAATGCGGTCCATAAGTCCAATTTTTGTGTGTTGGAAAATCACAGATCAAACCTGGTTCAGAATAATTTCTTCCAACACAGAAAAACATTCAGGCTAACATACTATCCTCTTACAGCAAAAGCAGAAACAGGTGTTACGACTATTATTTCGTGGTCAATGGCAAGATGAAAAGCTAAAGTCTATTGTCGCAGTCGAAAGCAGTAGTTAAACAGCAGTCACACCACCTGCGGCATTCAATGAGAGACTTTGAAGCTGTTGCAGGTTTACCGTAATCATAACAATATGATATTTACATTCACATTATTGTATTGCATCATGTGAGAGTTACTTTAGCGTGGCACATTGTGTACCAATTCCAAGGTTTTGCAGGTCCGACTGCCGAAGGGATCCGGAG